TCAGCAACAGACCAATGTTCCATTCTTGCTTCTGAAGCTCTGTCTGTCTCCTTTACCACTGTGACAGTGTTATCAATAGATGGCTCCTTTAATGACTTAGCGCTAAATTTGCAGTAAAATCTGTAGCCAACTGAGTGAAATTTGGGATTTCCCTGCAAATAATCAACAATTTTTGATCCGTTGTTTTCCTGGTATTTCCCAGTGTGTGATCTAAGTTTCTGTCTGCTATTGTTACGCTTTCATGCGTAATGTTAATTGTGGCAAGACTGCAGGCCAGGCATGCTGTAGTTTGAGTTCCTGCTTTATCAGCACTTCTGTATGGGCAGTAACAGTAGTTTCCATGCAGTCATGGTGGGGATTTGCTTTGTGACTACTAGTGTTGCTATAGCTACGTTTCTCCAATGTTCATTACTTCCAATAGCGTCCTTGTCACGCATCCAAGGATGCTGGCATTAAACAAGCTCACAGCATGTCTTTTCTGCCCTGGAAACTATTGCTAGGTGCACTGAGTTGACCAAGAGGTACTGCAGCTGGTGCTTTGCCTGGGCTAAATCTACTTCACCCATGAAGGGAGTGATGAGAGAAGTAGTTAAGAGCTCTTTTACAGCATTGCGGAGGGAAAGGAAAGCCTACAGTCACAAAGGCCCATTTCCAACTGAGCTGAACAGGAATGAGGAGAAGGAATTGTCATCTCTCAAGAGCAAGTGCAAGGAGGGGAGGGAGCATAGGAAACTTACATTAATTGCTAGGTTGTGTAATGAGCTGGGTGCTGTACAGCTACTGTATAGTGCCCATTGTGTCACCGCCTGGTTGGGGGTGTGCTGTTCCAGGGCAGTTTGGCTGGCTTTTGAGTTTTGGTTTTGAATGGTTTAATGAGCAAGTTAAATAGCTGTAAAACTCAGAGTAGGATCTCAAAAAGCCCACTGTCCCTCAGGAATACATGTTTATCTGGTGCTGTAAAGAAAAGGGAGTGAATTCTGAGCAGCCATTTACTTTTAGCAGGAAGGAGCTACCTACGGAACTCTGTTGTACAAGAAAAGACATCAAACATTCAAGACTAGCTATAAGATAGAGCTAATTACTGACACATCATGAAGACTGACAACGAAGAGGTACTCCAGCCTCTGCATATTCTACTAAACTTCAGTCTTACTTCTCAGGCCTTGATTAGCGCATAAGTGATATTAAAACAGCAACTATCTTATGCTAGGAGGAGCCAAAACACTGCATCTCGTAATTTCAACAGGCATTTAGCTGTTGGGTGGGATCTCATCTTCTCTCAGTCTGCACTGGCATACTAATGCCACCAAGATGTTTAAGAAATTGGAATGCCTGTCATAAAGGGAGAAGCTGAGAGACCAGTGGTTGATTTTAGCCTGGAGAAGGGCCAGGGAAACTTATCAATATGTGAAAATTCCTTAACGGGGGGTAGTAAAAAGATGAAACTGGACTCTTCTTAGTGTTATCTTTTCAAACATGAGGAAAACCCTTTTTCTGCTAACAGTGGTAAAATGCTAGAGTAGTTTACCCAGGTAGGTCTCCGTCTTTGGAGATATTCAAACCTCAACTGAATACTTTTCCTGAGGTCTAGGTAACACTGCTCTGAACTGGGAGGTTCAGACTTGACGCTCTCCTGTGGTCCTTCTACCTCCAAATACCCTGTGGTTTTGTGTTTCTATGAATCTATGGTATTTGTTCCATGCTTTTGGGTCTGAAGAAGCCCAAATAAAAAAAGCAGTTCTGTTATTCCCAGTGTTCAATAAGTAATTGACCAAAACAAGGCAAAATTTTCAGATTTCACAAACTTACTTCCAAATCTACAGAGATACATCTGTACAAACAGATGCACAAACTGTACCTTACTTTTATACACGCCTTTGAAAGTGCTACTGTATTCCATCAGACATGCTACTGGATGCTTAAAAGATCAGTCTAATAGTGGACTCTCAGTTTTTAAGCCACAAAGGCCTGTTTTATTCTCAGCATAGAGATATCATCTGACATCTATCTTTTGTACTATTACAATAGTTGCTCTTGCAAGCAATCTGGATGTTGAAGCAGGCAATTTTTATGTTGATCTCAACTATGTGATTCAACAACTGTTAGAATTACCACTCATAATTAATTGTTTTGCACCAGGTGATGCTGTTCCATTACAATTACAGTAATAAAGGTACTCAGATCCTTTGAAGTATCACTTAAAGTGCTATTTACTACAGCTAACACTATAAAGAGAGAGATACAGATAATCTTAGATCTGTTTAGATGGTGAGACCTCAAAGTTCTGTGGCATTGAAAAGCCATCTGACTGGGGCACAGCATTCAAGAGCAGATCTGGTTTGTTACCCCATTTTAATCCTGCAGGATTTTCTTACAAGAAAACTACTGATCATTTCTACTACCAAAAAAAAAAAAGGACACTCATGTGCAAACTTCTTGCTGCACTTTTAGTTTAAGACAAGGACATGCAAGTGGCATAATCAGCAGTATCAAGTGAGAGTTATCTAGAGGGTCTCTGTTACAATTGATTGTCTAAGTTTGTCATCAATCCAAGAATATTAACAGCACAGGCCTTGGGCTAAGCCATATGTGCAGCACAGCACAGTTTAAGTTGTATGTAGATTATATGCATCAATGTATGATTGTGTATGATGTATGCTCAAGATCATTGCACTAAGATACATGACTCTGTCTCCAGTCCTCATTCTGCAGATGCATTTACAGCATACTTAATAAAAGAAACAAGTTGACAGGATTTATAACACACTCATTATACCCTATATCAATTAGATTCAGCTGCTCAGAATGTTTCATAAAACCAACTCTTGTAAAACAGTAGTAGTACTTCCCATTACTCTTAATTTTCAGTAGATAAAATTGCCTCATTCCAAAAGCACCCCTTCTTTAAAGCCAAGAGCAGGTTTATTCATAACTTATGCTCTGGTCTAGATTTGTATCAATCCTATCAGAATTCTAGACATGAGACACCTTCCCTTCCTTGAAACAATTTTGTTGTCACTATTTTAGGATCTGTGGGACCTGCAGCAGTACATATACTGTCTAGTACAGCTGTCAGCAGCGCGCAGCACTTGCCTGGCGGGTAGGAGGAAGAGCACTGTCTCCTGTTCAGACCCTCTTGGGGAAACTACAGGAGTCTCAGAGAGAGCTGGCGGACTGGCTCTGCTTCGGCCATACGGGACTGATCGCAATTAACGCAGTAGCAGAAGTTATTTGCCTATAGGTGGCAGTATTTCCTAGCTCTTGTTTTGCAATACTGGTGATATTTGAGTTTTCTGTATTTTTGCCATCGCAGGAGATTTTGTTGTTCATTAACGCCACAAAGTTCAATCATAAAGATAGTTAAAGAAAAGTTGCTTTTAGGATGTGTTTCAGTTCCGTTCATATAAACTTCTGTGCTAAATGATGTCACATCAGTGGGCTTGAGAAGTACAGTTCTGTTTTCTGATCTTAAGTTACGAGCTATCTCTTGTTACATATGAGTGTGCATCATTGAGCCTCGATCCCCCTGAGAGTTTTGCATGAGTTTTGCATGAAGAAATGGGAATCGTTTGTGTTTAGTATGGGGAAAAATTTGTAGGAGCTGGTGGCTGCAGCCACTGTTATTTAAGCAAATCCTGGTCAAATCAATCAATTGCAGTGTTTTACAGAAGGTTGCTTGCTCTGTTGCAAGGGTACCTGGAGTGAGTTTCTGCCTATTCATCAATCTTTTCTGTTTAGATTAAAGTATGGCAACTTTATTGTTTTTACCAACCAGAGTTTATATGGTTATTTGCCACCCTTGCTACATCTGACTGTAATGGTTGCTGCTGGTTTCTGAACGTTAAGATGTATGCAGCAATTTATAGCTATAGTCACAGAAAGGCATTTATATAGGCAGCAGTGCTATAGATTTAGATGACAGCAAAACTACTAAACTGAATTATAGCCAGTGTAATATTCTCCTGAAGGTATATGAAGGAGTGTTGTAAATCACAGCTGTACAGCAAAAAACCTAGGGAATTGTTAAGCATAAAGCAACCCTCTTGTTTCTTATTCCAAAGAAATATGGATTACTGAATTAAAAGGAGATGGAAGTATGATACACTTTATTTCTCCTTGATAAATACATCTGATCACTAAAGTCATCATTTCTTTGCCTTGCACTGTTAATCAGCATTTTTAAATGCAGAAATAATGTCTCAGATGTCAAGTTTTGGTTTAACCCAACAGGTAGCTAAGCATCACACAGTCATTCACTCACTCCCCCTCCCATTGGGATGAGGGGGACAAAAAAAAAAAAAGTAGAACTCAGCAAGTGAGATAGAACTATTTACTAAGACAGAAAAGGAAGAGAAACAAAAAGATAATAGTAATGATAATCATATATATAAATACAAAACAGGTGATGCACAAGCAATTGCTCACCACTCACCAAACAAAGCCCAGCTAGTCTCCACCAGTGGCTGTTTGCCCAGCCAAGTCCCCACCATTTTTCATGATGTCAGATGGTACGGAACATCCCAGTTTATGCTAACCATCCTGGTCCTGTCCTCTCCCAAGTCCTCATGCCACCTCAGCCCCCTCACTGGCAGAATAGAACAAGAGCTGAGAAGCTGAAATACCCTTTGTTCTCTAGAGTGCTACTCAGCAACAACTAAAACATCACTGTTTTATCAACATTTTTTTCCTCCTGAAGACAAAACATAATGTCATGCCAGGCACTATGAAGGAAAAATCAGCTCTGTCTCAGCTGAAAACAAGACAGGTTAGTAGTCTCTGCCTTAGGGGAAAATACAAGAGGGACCATCATGAGAATATCTGCCTTTACAGGAAGTTTAAATATACACCCTTTTTAACATAATATTATTATTCCCATGGGTTCTTTCTGGTTAGTGGTTAATATTAAAATAGCTTTTCCATAATAAAAAAAAAAATGAAATGCAATTCAGTGTTTTCAGAAATCTTTTAATATCCCTGTAAAACAGGAAACGCTTCTGACAAACAGCTGCAAAGATGATGCACAAATGAGGAACAAATAGTGCCACAAAGATTGTCTTCAAAGTCCAGAATCTTTGTTCTAAACCACAGAAAAAACACCCTTGCAAGAAGCACAGGAAGATTTTTACTGAGAAGTTTTTAAAGCTGCTGTGGTACAGAAGTGAATTGTGCATTTAGTTGCAGTGTTATCTTGCATAGAAGTAAATGTACAATAATTAAAATCAAAGTTAAAGGCCAAATAGCAAATGGAGGTAATGGCGTTATGAGTAAAAATTTGGCTGATGATGCTTGACAAAACTGTGCAAATAGTCCTTTATATGCAACATAAGGAAAGTAAGTTTAGTAAGTATGAAGCCTAGAAGGCTCAAATTCAATTAATTTAAGACAAAACAGAAAATTCTGTTTATACTTATACCAATATAGATCCAGGTTTACTCCACCGGTTTAAAGCTGTTCTGGATCTTTGTCAGTATGTTTGAAATTAGCATCTGGTTCATGTCATAAATCCTATTTATATCTTCTACTGGCTTCCAGCAGACCATCTGAGGACAGAAAGCAAAAAAAGTGGCCCTGGGCCTTAATTATAATTGTACAACAGTGACTTTTTCTAAAAGTCATGCTTTTAATTTGTATTTAATTCCTCATTCTTTGTGAGCCATAAACCTTTCTTTCATAATGACAGTAAACAGCTATTTTATTGTCTTATTTCTACTCAGTTTTATATTCAAATGCCTCTTAACATTTTCTGAAATCAAGGAATTTTTAAAAATATGTACAGTTCAGTTAAATAAATGCTGTTATCATTTCCTATGTTTTGAAGCTACTCTCCCAATACATATCTAGTAACACCACTTCAATATATACCACCATGTAGATAACTGAAACAGAATTATTATTGTAGAGGCAGCTACAATCTTACAAACCTGAACACTGTGCTTTTGCTCCAATCCAAACTCACAATAACAAAACCAGTTTTTACAAGAGAAATGAACTGTACAGAGAATTATTTACTCTTATTTAAAGAACGGTTCAACTCTTACTGAAACCAATGGGTCTTGCCATAAATGTATTCAGATTCTAGTTAAGAATGACAAGATAATTCAGTGGAGTGAAAGATCAATAGAAAGCATCAGTGGAAGATGAAATGTGTATGTGTACCACAATACACACACAGTCTGATTTAATATTGCATCCTTTTTACGTGGATGTAGAATGGAAGAATTCTGACTCTACCTACAGCTGTTCATATTGCTAGAAAATAAGAATATGCCATCCAATAATTAGAACTCTCTTCTTGCTTTTAAGATAAATAGCTAAGGTTTAAAGGCATCCTAAGTTTCTGCCTATCTCTTGCTTTAAGATGTCTAGTGACAGTGGTATAAATTCCTGTGCTGGCGTAATGACTGGAAATGGTTCTACACTGTTCAAGCAATAAAAGGCAAACAAATTGAATCCTTCCATATAAAAACATATCTACTATGCAAATACTGATTTGCAGCCCAGAAGCCAAGAATGCTGTATGGAGGAGACAACAAATCTTCCACCAACACCCACAGAGCCTTAAATTTTTTAGCTGCCCTGTGGACAGCTAATTCTGAAGGTTGCTACCTCCTTCTCACAGTTCAAAAATATTTTCCTAGCAGTTAATATGTTATTACATAGAACATGCAAGTTGTCCATGACAATTTAACAGCAGTGCTGCAGTTCCGGCTGGCTCCTTCTCCAAACTGTGAGCTGAGATTTGAATGACTTACCCAGGGCATTTTAAGCAAGGTTTTTAAACATTTTAGGAATCAGAGTGATCTATTAGAACATGTAATGTAACACTTCGCATTCCTTTAAAGCAATAGCTGAGTGGTCCCTGGAATCTGAGGAGGATAGTTACAGAGAAGAGTCACGTTGCAGTCAATAAGAATCCGCAGCTTGAAGGTTCTGAAGGACTTGCAGCACAAATTCATAACAGAATAAATACTGATCCTGCACATAGAGACACCAGTGTGAAACAACTGAATACATTTGACAAAGGAACTAGATAAATAATTACAGACTGGCTGTAATGTTGTTTGTAACACCAGCAACTTTATTACATACATATAAATATATGTATATTTAAAGGTATCCTCAATCTTATTTTTCCTTCACTAATAAAAGTTCAGGAGGTCTTTTTTATTCAGTGCAGTACCTGTAAGCATGAGCTTGAGTCTCACTGAGCTCAACTGAGGTTATTTACCTGCTTAATTTTAACCATCTGCCCAATCTAAGGTATATTGGAGCATGTCTTAAATACTTGACTCTGAGAAGAACTTATCCTAGTCTTGTCTAGTTTTTCATCCCACTTTCTGTTTGTTCTAAGTTGAGTTACCTTCATTTTGTCTTGTACTCTGTGAACTCTTCCTGGGAGTATGTTTAGCTCAGTGGTAGAAAGGGCAGTGATAGCTTAACAATTGCAAGAATTCAACTAAAGGCTGTGCTTTTGCAGGGTAGAGTCTCACCTGTTTTGCCGGTGATTCCTCTTGTTGGTTTTTTTTTTTTTTGTTTTTTTTTTTTTTGCCAAAAGGAGAAAAGTAGGCCTGTATACGTACTATATTGATGATTTGTGAAGTTCAAGTGACTAAAGCTACACTAGAGGTCTCTTTATGTTGGCTTTCTTTTCCCTTTCTTTCTTAATTTCAGTTACTAAGACCTTGTAAATTTAGATAAAGACACACTTGCCTGGAAAGTTATTATTTTCCTCACAAGGAGGCTAAGGTTATGCTCTAAACTCCAGATTGATCCAAGCATAAGGATCTGTAGCAGAATTTGAAGCTTTCTGAAGTCGCAGTCTAGTTTGAGTACTGAGAACTTACCTTACTTTGGATCATGCCAAACCGCTGTTCTCTCAGATCTCTCACTATGTGCTTGATGTTGAACTATTAGAAGAGAACAGTTTTTATTATGTTAATGTTGAAACTATTTAAAAAAAAAAAAAAAAGAACGGAAACAATTTATGACGAGAAACCTGGGGTTCAGTTCTTTTACAAATAACATAACTTTGGTTATTATTTCTGTTCTTTTAAATAACAAAGCTGGGTTTATTCCATTTTGTAAGGATTAATTTCCACCAGGAGTTAACTGTGTTCTAAGATATCAACACATTTTGTTGACATCCATATCGGTAATATTTATATTTACTGTAAGATTTAACAATTATTTGTTTGGTACTTACACAGAGATCTTTTTCTATATAGCTCAGAAGAATTTCAACACAAAGCAAAACTCCACTTCTTCCTATCCCAGCACTGCAGTGAGCAACAACAGGTCCTCTTCTGTGAGCTTTCCTCATATAACAAATAAATTTTACAAGCTGCTCAGACAGTTTGGCACTACTGTGGTCTGGCCAAGTGGTAAACTGCAAATGACTTACAATTCGCCTCTCATCTGTCTGGAAAAAAAGAAAACAAAAGTGTGTATTCACCAAAAGATTAGTAACATAGCTATATAAAACCCAGTAAAAAACAAACAAATACATGTAAATATAAATGTAAATATATATAAATGAGGAAATAGCATTTTCTTTTTCCTTATTATTTCTTATGTCAGTACTAAATGAAAAAATGTTATACAGTTTTTCCATGCTGGTAAAAACATCTGCTGTAAAGATCCAAGTCCAACCAATAATTGTTCTGCAAAAATGATTGTTTATGCAACTGAAAATCTTAAAAACAAAAGAATCTAGGAACTTTAAGGATTGAAGCCTTCCAAAGTCCCATGGCATTGGGGACTTTAGCATGTCCATTAGTCCATTAGCATGGCAATGGATTTCTATTGACTGTAAGCTGGATGTAAAAACCTATCTAGGTTTTTGCCATTAGAATAATTTGAATTAATGTCTGTGATTTCTACTGAAGTAAACTGATAATTTACCGTAGTAATTTAATACTGGTACAAAACAAATGTAGCAAAAATAAAAACATTCATTAAAATCAGGTAAGGGCTCAATCACTTACAATGGCCAATCTTCCCATCATCTTCTGGACAGACCCTTATTAGAAACTTTGCTATCTTTCACACGGTAACATGAGGTGAGATTTTTCATCATATAAATAGTTTTACTAACAGAAACAGATGCCAAGTTAGTCTGGCACAATTAATTTTTCTTTAATTATTTCATGAACCAATTTGTCCTGCAGAAATTTCGGCAAAGTTTTATTTAATATGGAGGCATAATTGATGGACTTGTCCCAGTTTCAATGTTCTTACAATTAGGTTCTAAATTTATTGTATCTTCAAAAAAGTCCTGTTAGATTGGTAGTTTCATGTCTTCTCATGAAATAAAGAAATTATCGTTCTTTCTAAATTTTAAGATGAAAACCAACTTCTTTTCATCCTTCCTTGTACCCACTTTTACAGAACATCAGTGGCAGTCCTTATGATCTGATTTGATAAGAACAGTGAGAAATTCTGCAAAAAAACACAGCAACTCTGTGAATATTAAAGGATTAATTATTGAACACTCTTGTCCAAATGTTTATAATGTTGGATCCACTCTTTGTGCAATAAGCAATGAGGCAGTATTCTATTTATCTAAATTTCCTGTTTGTCAAACATTCCTAAGAACATGATGAACAGATGTTAGAGAAGAAACAAATAATGTCAGTATTTATTCATTTAAGATATTTATTCAATTTCTTCACATATGAAAATGTTAATTACACTCAACTTACCTGCTTGTTGATCATTTCTATTATCCTAATTATGAAGTATTCCAGAATCTGGTAACTGTCCAGCCTGAGATGAAAATTATCCAGATCTATGGAGTCGTGTGGAGGTTCAGGCCAGTATCGATGACTTTTCACTTTTCCTAGCTCAACTTCTTTTGTCATCATGGCAATCAGATCTGATTCACTCTCCCATACCATCTGCCAGAAATCAGCCATAGTAGAAGGCAGAGGCCCTTGAGTTATAATGTAGAAGTGTTCCTCTTCTCCAACTTTCATTCTGATATAACTTGCGTTAATGTAGCCATTGTTTTCTCCCAGGAGAACTCGTGTCTTATCATCTGGACAGAAACAGAAAGTTACTATTGCAGCTGTAGATCTGAAATGGAGCTCTGCCACCTCTAGCATCTAGGAGATGGGGAACCTCAGCCTCTAACAACAAAGTATGCTTTTATTTTTTAGACCACATTTGGCAGGCTGCTCTAACATTAGTCACTGCTAATCAGAATTCTGACTCAGATAAGAGCTGAGCAACTGAAATATCTAGTTGGCTATCATGTTTTCAAATACTTCTAAAATGAACTTGTATTTTTTCAAGAACTACATATATCTGTGATTTCCACTGTGCTTTTCAGAATTCTGCTATGTCAAAAGCTGTAGATTTAAAGAACTGCTAGTATAATACAAGATACTCTAATCCACAGAAATGTACTAGACCACTATATGACAGAATGAAGGGAACACCAAGATAGTTGCCTCCCTACCAGACCCAGTCCTGCCTTGCTGAGGATGATAGTGAGAAATTACTTACTGCACAAAGCAGACAACCTTATGTGAACTTTACACTCTAGGAAAAATCTCAACAAAATTCATTTCTAGTAGAATTTTCTATGACAAAAGAATGTGGTGGGCTTTGCCTCCTAATCCCAGTATTATAGCTGTATCTTCTTATTGGTGTGCATACTTACATGGAAGAATATCTTGATATCTATTTTTATCCCGATTTTCTGGTGCTTTGCCAGTTCTGCAGTCATCTATTGGCTTCACATGTTCCAAAGCCTGTATCAAAAAGAAACAGTCACACAGTCTTCATATCCTTCATGAAGAGCTTTTACTGATTTGTGACCCGAGACAGACCTCTTAAAGAAGAGAATCAGCACATTTTTCCTTAAACTTCTAGGCACAGTTCAAATTGCTTAGTAGTTCCTTCAGTATGCAGAAAGTTTCTGGAGATTTTGAATGAGATTTCCAACCCATATCCTCAGCACCTTGAATTACAGAACCATTTTGTATATTGTTGTAAAATAGATGTTTGGAATAGTGTCTTGGCCAAATAATCATTATTCATAAGTGACTGGAGAATAAACTTTAGCACTGTTAGAAGGTTATGAATGTCAGTGAATAAATTTCAATTACAGAGAAAGTGATCGATAAAGGGAACAACATCAATGATATTAAGTAAAAATCATAATCTTAAGAACTTCATGGCAGATTTAGGGTAACACAGTGCAGTTTGACCAGGAAGCAAGAAAATGAAAATTAATTTCATTTATGGTTTTGAATTACTTTCACTTTTCTTTATTCTTCTACCTCTTTGACTTGCATTGTGCAATGCCTGGCCTTCACAGTAGGCCACTACATAGTATAATATGGACTGAAATATATTTGTTAGGTTTTCAAGGTCTTCATCAGTAACTATTGCTTTTCTCAAATAAAATATCCATTGATTTTGGTAACCATTAGTTTTCCTGTTAGATCTCTCTGCTTTGTGAGCAAATGCACGAATTGGCTTATATCATGCTATGCCTACCTCAGTTATGGAACGGAATTAGTGGAAATGTATATGTGAGCTTTTGGTGAAAGTCAACAAATCCTATACACATGAGTCTATGTGATTTTTTACCCAGAAAGTGAGATATGAAGGCAACCTGAAGAAACGGATAGCATTTTGATTGCTATGGAAAACTGGTAGTAATCTATTTCATTGAGGATGAGTACATTATTTAACAAAAATTCCAGGACTGCGTTAAAGAACTATGGAATAATCTTTAGAAATTGCTAATAACCTCCAGTACTAAATGCTCCATATACTGAAATGCATTCATAATTCTATATTTTTTCATAATTTATGTCATCAGATGTAATTGTATGTTTTTATTATTTACTTATATTATTTTTATTTTTATTTTACTTCCACTAAGTCCCTGACCTCAATAGCATTTTGTGGCAATGATTTCCATGGATCACTGAAGCATTGTAGAAAACATTTTCTTTCATTGTCTAGGTGTTTGGATTTCTTGCTTTAATCTAGTGCCTAGAAGGGCTCTTAGGCACCTATTTAGCAGAGCTGAGGGGGGGAATAGAAAGAAGTTGATCTACATTAAATTTATCTGTACTGTATTTTTGTGTATTACTTGTTTTTATTTCCAAATGGGTGAGATCTTTGGACAGGAAATAGAGTAAGTAAACCTGGCTTGTATGGAAAGAGGGAGATACAAATAGTGCAACATGACTCAAAAAGCAGAGCAGAAGCCCTATCCTAGCTGGAACATCCTCTGAGAAAGTGGAGTCAGTGAAGATACAACTGAATCTCCCATAAAGTATGTTGAACAATTCTAAAAGTCACTTTCTTAGTTCTGCTAAAGATCTTAAAAATGAATTACACTTTACCATAAACTCTTTCAAGACCTCTTGATTTTCAATCCGTGACTTAAGGCCCTCAATAAAATGTCTGATGCCAGTCCTTGGACGTACTCTGGTTGGTGAGGATTTAAGGTTAATTAAATGAGTCAGTTCATCTTCAGAAACAAAGGTTCTGCCTACACATAGCAAAAAGAAAAAAAAAAAAAAAAAAAAGTTTTTAATGATTATTGAACATAGCATAAAGTTTTGGATTTAAAAACTAGGGGACTGCAGAATTTGAGTACACTTCAGTGTTTTATACTGTGGAAGTAAACTGTAAAAGTATTTTTGGCTTACTTCACAGTAGAAAGAAGACTCAGTCAGTATCATGGATACAACCAGCACCATATTTCATGGAGATTGCATATCCAATTATTTAAAATTCTTGCTTTCTACAATTTCTAAATACAGTCTGTTATGAATTAATCATTCTTGGAGAATTATAGACTTTAACAGTAATTTATATTGATATAGGAGACTTCGGCCACATCTTCACAGGAAATCATGTTTCCAGGAGTTTCCTGAAGATTAATACTGCCACGCTCTTCATCTTACCTCACTCTTCCTTTCCATAACAAGGTGTGAAGTACCTCTGATGCACAAAAACCAAGGATCAGTTTTACTAATTAGCTATACTTTCTTTAGTATACTTTCTGATACAAAACTTAGATTAAGAAGATAGATAAACATTAAGTCTCCAGAAATATCATTGTTCTACTACAGCAATTGAAAAAGGAGGCACATCAGTAATTACTGTTTCTTCCATAGAATAAAAGCAGTAGGTTTTTTTGGTGGGGAAAAAAAAAATAGTAGTTTGAAGTGGCAAAACTATAGAATTTGTCCTTACAAGCAGAGGCTACTGTTGGCAATGAATAACTTGCCAATTGACTTGAGATAACTTGATGATCTGTTCCTCAGCTTTGTTGTAGGCTGAAGACTGGGAGCACTGTTCTCTTATTTTTGTAAGGTGTCTTTGCACGCTTTAACCAATCGCAACGAAAAATTGCAGCGCTGTGCACCTAATCGAGTATAATCAAGGTATTTAGATATTTTCCTTTTGCGGAAGGACACTATATAAAACACAACAACAACTACAAGAAAAATGGCAAAGTAAAAATTGCAAGTTGCCCATCCTTTTTAAGCTCAAAAGCAGAGGTGCTCAAAATGGTAGCAAATGGATGGTGGCCAGTAGAGCTGTTACCACTCTGCGTAGTTAACTAAGCTCAGCCTCATGATCCTTCCTTCTAGCAGATCTCCAGAAGAACTGAAGAACTCCTAACGTTGGCCATCTTCATCTGGATATGGCAAAGATTTGATGCTTTTCTATGTATCAGAGGCAAAAATTTTGACCTGAGTCATCTGGCCTTCAAGACATAAAGGGGAAATTCTTAGCTTGTGTACATGGGAGTAGTGTTGATCTCAGTGTAGTTATGCTGGCCTATTACAATAAGGAAACAAGAGCATTTCTGGTTACTTCTAGGTAGAATGGAAGTCCTGTGGAACATATCATCATCTTCATTGTTCCAGCTATCTGACTCAGACTGTTGACTTTCTCTTCTGCAGCCTTCATATCCTGCGTATTTCTGTGATCTGTAAAACAGCATTAGTTGATAGGTTTCATGGAAGCTGCTGAAGTTATGGTCATCTGGACCATGCAAAAACTTTGTTTTTAATCTATTTTCAATAACTTTTAACTTTCTCAAGTGACTATTTTCAAGAATCACAATGACTTCTGAAGAACATGAATACAAGGATTAATGATATTATTTCGTCTGGACAAACAGGGACAGATGATCTGTATAAAAAGCTGCCAGAAAATAAAGTTGTTACAGGCAGTTTTTCATGAATGACACATTTCTTGAATTGTTAGCAATAATAGATGGGTAGGCTTACTTCAAGGTTTCTAAGAATATTCTAAAATAGAGAATTTTAGAGTGCTTAAATATGTATAGCTAGATAATATATCTACAACCCAGGATACAGCAATAATATGTGCAGAATGAGTTAAATATTCATGTAATGGCTAACTCCATCCCCCTGCAGATCTTCCATTTAACTATTTGAGTAGGCTTAAGCATACTGTAGCCTTACATTGGATAGGATAATATGTGATCATCATACATAATATAATCAATAGGAAAAGGTACTGTTAAGAGTGGGAATAAGATAATAATTTAAGTAGCAGCTTTGCAAAGATCAGTGATCATTTCAGGCACTGCATTTTCAAGTTAGACAAAGCTTTTGCAAGCATAAAATAGGACTAACAGAACACACTGGTAATAAAGAGATACAGGTTAAAGTACAAGGGCCAGAAAGCTTGTCCATTTGCAAAACAACCAGAAAAAAAAACAAATGTTATCCTTATATGTGATAACTTTGTATTAGCTATAGATACATTTGCATATCTTGCAAGATAATTTAATAATAATCACACCTGATTACCTGGTATACTGAAAGATAATATTATACTAGTGGTGAGATAATATCAAGTAGCACTGAGCTTGTATTCACATGGATATTCTCAATTGCAGATACTCTCAAGGGTTCTTTCAACAGTTTTGTCCTTTGAAGACTGGCCAACTAGTCTTCCAAAATTTTAAGTGCTTTTAAGTTTCAAATGCTTATTACTTTCTACCTCCTACTGGGTTATAAATGATAAGTAAAATAATTATATTTCATATATTCTGTATCTTTGTCATAAACAAAACTGCTCCTTTTTATCAAAGCTACATTATTCTTTGATTTCCTGTTCTGTACATTTGAGGTAAAATTCTACACTTCCTGTACTGCGTACCCACATATTTTCTTAGGAGTAACATCCTCAAATTCTCTTGATTCTAAAACATCCTGAAGTAAACACCTATGTCACTACAGCCTTAGGCCTGTCTGCATGAGCCGCAGTTACACCTAGAAACTTCTGTTGCATTTGCTGTGTGGAAGCTGTTTAGCCACTCTTATTACAGATGGAGCTGTATTTCAATATAACTGTGCTCAAATAATTTGGGACATGAGTATACGGAAGATCTGGAAATACAAGAATAAATTATTGATGCTGATTACTTTAATAATTTTACCATATTTGAGAGACTTACACGTCTGAAGTGTTACTGATGATACCCTGATAATCTTGTCCAATCATCTGACCTTGCAGAGGGGAACAGTGTATACTTTTTGGACCCTGTGGTTGTAAGATAAGAAATAGCTGTGAAAAATCAGTACAAAGAAACATCAATCAGTACAACAACAACAACAACTACAACAACATCAAGAATATGTTTACTTTATTCAATATTTTTTCTCATAACTGATGAATACATGTTTTATACTTAAGAAGGAAATTGAAAATAGTTTCCAGGGAAAAAGTATATGTGACTTTGACTTAGCATTGCAGTATCTACTCAAATGAATAAGCTACATCAGTTGTATGTGTGATCTTCATAACAGTGCCATGTTCAGAAGTCCCTACAATCTAACCTGAGTAGCTGAACTTTGAAAATATGACATTTCTGATCTTACAGAGAAAGCTCAGTCAAAAGAGTTGTGAGTCACACTCAGCTCTTCACCTCCCAATTCTTGGCAGCAGAAAGCAGCACTGTTTCAGCTGGAATTTCTGGTACTAATTTCCTCTTTGTTTTTAATCTCTGACACAACAAGGCCAGATGATAGAAATAGAGTGTATCTGCACTACTAAGAAAGCTCTCAACTAACAGAGGGCACATCCTTAATCAGCCTCCAGATGGAACAGAAGCAATACCACTAGTTGCTGTTTTTCAGGCCTGGAGGATGATAACTAGGTCCTGCACTTAGATAGTGATGCAGAACATCTTTCTTCAGTATGTGGAAGTGGCTCCTTCTGAGTTGCAGCACTTGACAGTTAATTATATAAATTTTAATTCAGAGTGACATTTCTTCATCTTCTGTTCCTGCTTAATATTCCATTCAGAAACCACCCTGGCATATAATGTAGTATAAACTACCAGATGCCTCACAGAATCTTAATAGTGGCTGCCACTCCTACCTTTTATTTATTTTTATGTTTCTACATTTATGCTTGTATTTTCCCACAAGAATTTGGGAATTCGTGGCCTTATATTTAACCATGAATTAACTTATTCAGTTTTTTCAACTATTGGCTATACTGATTAGAGAATGCTATAAGGATATTTGTCTTATTTTTGCCAAGGAAAAGTATTTTTTGTTGTTTTTGTTAGTTTGTTTGGGTTATTTTGGTTTATTTTGTAGTTTGTCATTTTCAAACCCTAGGACTTTGGAGTAAGTGGCAGCTGTGCCCTGTAAAGTATAGTTTCTATTAACGTGAGACCATTAAAGGCAGGCTGGAAAGGGTTAAGAAGAGAGCTAATGGAATGAACTCAGCAGAAAAGTTTAGCATGAAATAAAAGTTAGGTATTTGCAGACTAGACTTAACTACAAGCTTAAACCCGTAAGTGAGCACTAATACATTGCTAACTCAGGCTAATAAGGGACCTGTAACCTTAGTAGTATCTCGTGCCTCTGATTAATATCATTTCCTTGGCATATTTCTTCATTATATCATAGACCTGACCTTATTTTCGTATTACATTTAGCCAATCTTTAACAATGTATTTCCAACATTCATTCCAGCACTGTACTCAAAGCTTTCTGAAATTCCATTCAAGATTTTCTTAGCTTATTCAGTTCAAGGATTTCTCCTTTTATATATATATATATATATATATATATATATATATATATATATATATATATATATCTTTGGTTATATTGGATGAGGCAAGCTTTGGAAGGTTGGTTTTTGTTTGTTTGTTTGCTCTGGAGGATAAAAAAACTACGTTTATCACATTTTCAGGAGACAGGTTTTATAGTTGTAAAACTCAAAAATAACACTTATTGTAAAATTTAATGCAGACAGTCTCTGCCTCACTTACTAGGATTCAAAACCAAAACTACGCCTGAAGAAATCTGGGGCTTTGGAGTTAGCAGATGCTGATGAATAGCAAACTTTCAAAGCATACTTTTAAAATATTGGAAGAATGGAAAAATTAATAAATAATTTATTCCAACATTGTAAACTTCCAGAACTAGACTTGCTTATGCAACCTTCCTTTAACACCTCTCTTTAGCATATGTAGTATGCTTTTATCATATACCTTTAGCTCAGTGGAATCCCCTGATTTATTCCTATATTAGAGGTGCTGCTGACTGCAGCACACTTGGTTCATGTTAATCTTTTTCATTAACAACGTGTGGTTCTTGCCAGCATTGCATCAAACCCATTTTTGTTTACAAACGAGTACATTGCCTGATAACTTTTACAAGCTCAATTCAGACTTCACCTTGCTGCACATCCAGTTGGATTCTTCCTTCAAAGTGAAAACAGATTGAGCTTCTAGGCTTCTCTCAATGTTGTGGTCATCTGAATACCAGAAAAAGAAATTTAAATGCTTAAAGTGTGAAAATATAGATCCATTTCTTCAGTAGCACCCACACCAGAGAACTTTGGTTTTGGAAGAGGCACTTGAGATATGTTGCCCCAAACTAGCACAAAATACCCTTTTTTCTACATGCTCTCGTAAGGGTAAAAACAGCTTAAGTTCCATGTATAACCACTGAAGAAGTCAGAATAACTCAGGTGACCAGAAGATACTGAAGTATACCCACTATCAGTAGGAGTTGTAAAAAACCTACAACAGAATTGATAACCTTCCTTAACTCAGCCCATTCCTTTACAGCACTAAATAGGCAAATGTCATAGATTTATTATGACAGTTCTCATGTAATAGCACTGTGTTTTATTGGTCCAGGGAAAAGAGTTTAAACTTCACAGTAACAGTCTAATTCATGAGACCCCAACACACATCTCCACAGCTAGTTCCTTGAATTTGAAGAACTGGAGAAAAGCCTATTCTTACTGCAGTGAATGGGAGCATTTTCACAGTCACTAACGTGGCTAAAACTTTAATCAGCCTTTTTATATCTGGATGACCTTCCCATTTTGGCATCGTTTACCCTCAAAATCAAACTAGAACTGAAATGGGACAGTGAACATCCTCATTTTACACCTGAACTGAGCACAGTTCTGTCGTCCTCACACAGAGAGTCTTTGAAACACCAGTAATATAATATTGGTAGACTATTAAATTCCAAACTGCTGGGAAAGAAATAGGAAATTTTAAATAATACACTCCCTTTATTTACTTCAGATTCATCAAGATAACTATGAATAACCATACCTTTTCCAGTATCTTCTGACAGTCTTGTCTAGCTGTTCCAAAGACCTCAGCTGCTCAGGATGTACAGCACCTTCTCTCCAGCTACAAACCTACCACTGATTTGCATGAAACTAGCTAAAATCAGCACGCACCAGAAACCATCATAAATATAAGCTGAGTTTAAACATTTCTGAGAGTCTTCAGCATCCTTCCCTATGTTCTTATGTCTTGGAAAGCTTGTCCAGAGCTGAAAGAACTTTTTTATGTCTATGGCTATGAATCGGGAGTAAGAGTTATTGGTAAAGTTATTCAATTGTTTTACCAATAGAAAAATTGAGTCCAGACATAATCCCACTTTTAATATGTACTTAATGGATTTAGCTGCTTACCAGGCTCTGTGTTTGTGTTTGGAGGGGAAGGTATGCTGTTTCTCTGGTTGCTTGAGTAAGCCCAACGTGAAGCTACGCTTCGGCAGACAGTGAGCTGAACAGTGCCTTGAGCCTTGCGCAGCAAATCTATAACTGTTTGGCGTGGTAGACCAGATACTAAAGTCTCATTTACCTGAAAAATACATGGTAAGTAATTCCAGATTTATTTAACAAAAAGCTTTTTTTAACACATATCCCAGCACTGAGCGCATTTTATACATCTCTGCAACTCATGAGTCTTCTCTCCTTTCTGCATTAGTAACTTCCTTGATCTCCCTCTCTTTGCATTTTTATACCATGAGAGCGCACCACCAAAATGACAAAGAGCAAACCCTACCTTAAGTAAGATGTCACCAACTTGAAGCCTCCCATCTAGATCTGCAATACTGTTTGGGCTGATGGCTTTTATTAGGATAGCCCTGCCATTTCTGCCACCAACCAGCGCAAATCCTAGGCTTCCATTTTCTGCTTTTTCCAATTCTATCTTAATAATGAAGTCCTACAATACAAAATGACACAGTCAGAGGTGGAGTTTATTCAGGGCGCTTTTTTCATATTCATTTTTAATATGAAAGAATTATATTGTGCTTTACAATCCTTTGTGGCTGATATAAATTGTAGGATATATCCTTGTCTTGGATGGGTACATAGAGCTTCCACTGATTTATAGCATCTACATGTACGTATCAGAATGAAAGTAGTGCATCCTTATTTCCATAAGCTCTATTAATAATATCCAGTGAGTAAAATGAGTAAATCTCATAAAACTAAGGAAACATGTACTTATGTAACCCTTTCATAATACATCAAATACATCACCTTCATTGACAAGCCAGTCACTTTTATCTCAAGTGTGACGCTAACTCAGTATGTCCTCCATTCTTTTATTGTTCTGTAATGCAAGTCTTAACCTTGCAGCCCCAACGTACCTCTCTGTTTGGCTTTAGCACGTCATTCACTTTTATAATCAGCAGCCTTTTTAGGGTCAAGCATTATGTCGGAAAGAGCAGCAACCTAGAAATTGTTATGATTTGCAGCATGACTGGTTCCAGTGATGAATGTATCATCCTCAGAAATTATTTTAGTGAGTTGAACAGACAAGCTATCATGGATTAAATGGTGTGGAAGAAGCAGTAATAGAGATGACTTAATCAAAAGCCAGAAAATTGTTCTAATTTTTCTTCCAGTTTGGAGGTCTAATTTTAACAAGAAACAGCCATTTCTTGTAAACCCCAGCCAAGAGAAAATGAATAAATCTATTTTCATGAAATATCAGTCCCAAAGCGGGCAATTCCAAGCAATATTACTTTCCACATATTTGCGCAAACAAAAGCAATGTTTGCACTTGTGAGACGTTTGAAGCATTGTATGCTGAGCATGGAAATTGATTTTTTCCCCCCTGAACATACCTGTGTATTTTGGGAATTTATTATTTCAAAAATACAGTTACTCTCACTAGCTATTATAAATCCAAACCACTCTGATATATGTCAACACTGAAAATACTCCAAAGATTTGGAGTAATTTTATCCTCTTTTCAGATTCAGTATTTCATACTGAAACATGAATCTCAAGTTTCAATGAATGTTTTGATTTGTTGTGGGAAATACTTCCTCATTACTTTCACATTTATTCTTCCCAGAATCTTACACTGTGGCATTCTATCTCTCTTTCCTGCACAACTTTCTTTCTAAGCTAGGAGTTAATTTTGGAAGCTATTAAGAGTACTATGAAGACCTAATGGAGGGTCTACATCCTGTGGATCTTGGTTTCATTATCAAGCTGTTAAGGTACTAATACTGTATAGAAAACCAGCAAGAGAGGGACCTAACCACTGGAGGTGCTGAGCGCACACAGGACAAGTGCACGCTGAGGCAGTTCAACACTTCACGGTATGCTTTCCAGACCAACTGTGTTCACATTTTAAGAGAAACTGGGGATGAAGTAAATACATTAAATGCCACTATTGAAAAAATCTCAGTCACTATAGCACACTTTACTTGATGGAACACCTCATGCTTGATAAAACTGCCCCTTACCTTACATTCTGGAGAATTGGGAGTGCTTTGCTGAGCTTCACAATTTGTTTCCTTCAAATGTTTCTCTGTGAAAAAGCAGAACGGTTTTCACCACTGAAATATGGTTCTGTGGTATAACACTCAATATGATAGAGACATAATAAAACATTTCATATTTGATGTGTAAAATTTCCTCTGGGCTTATGTATGTTGCTTCTTTTGTAGTACTCCTGAACTGAGCATTCTGCCTATGATTCATGTGAACCTTTTGCCTCCCAGAGAGCAGTTTCCAAAACAAGCTTTAGGAGCTGCGTGTTACAGGATCAGGGACACCAGCTGGAAAACAGATGATGTACTTGCATTCTCTGAGATTCTGAGGGATACAGAATTACTTACTAACAATTAATCTTTCCCCGGTATTTCCAGCACCACCTACCAATTTCATTTATAGAGAGGACTAAACCTTTTTTAAACTCCACCAGAAAAGTCAAGCTCCTTACCGTGTTGGCTTAGTAGATGCTGCTCTTGGGAATTCAGGTTTTCATTTGAGAGACAAGTATCGTCTTTCTCTGTCTCAGCAGGCAGCCCTAAAAGCATACATGGAGGTTTGTTCTGACAGGCCTCCCACTCAGCTTCATGTACGCAAGGGAATGTAAATTCTGTTCTTAGATCACGAAACGAAGCATCAATATCCAATATTGATGCTGTATGAGGCAGTGTGAGACAGTTATTACTGCATGATTAAGTTTACTGAGTTGCACAGTGATACAAATAATAGTTTCCTGAGCTGCAGAAGTATTACATCTCATTTGTTGCTATTTTTAAAATGATAACAAGAACTGGAGATCAGAGTGAGTCATTCCAGACATGTGGCAGTGCTTAGGCAGAGGATTAAGGAGGTTCTATCACTGTCTGCAGAGCTGTCTGTACAAGAAGACAATGATTTGGCTTTGATTTCCACCCTGCCCTGATCTTTACTTTTGAGTTTTGCTTTGTCATATATAGATGATCTCATTTGTCTTCCAGAAAATTCTCTTAAGGTATGAATTATATAACATAATATGTTCTGCTGTTTGTGTTGTTTTGTTTTGTTTTGTTTTTTTAATTCTATGTTGCATTTGCCATTTCAGTATGCATTTTTATAACTAAGAGAATACATTAAATGAAGGCTTCTACTAGAGATGGTCACAAACAAACAACAAATCACTGTATATTTTTGCAGTGCTTTACAAAAGTTAAGAATCTTTTTTTTTCAAGGCCGAGAACCATCTCACTGTATAGTTAATAAATCTGCATCAGAGGTGGATCATAGATAAAGTGTCTTGAGAAATCTCCTGGAATCTACAGATCTTACTAGAGAAATAAAGTAGAGCAATAACTGTAGCCCCCTGATAGGCTCCTTTATTAATTAAAGAGATTGTGGTTCTGCCCATTTTTGTTATTGATATCAGTTTAAAAAGTCAGTCCAGGATGGTTAAGTTATGGCACCATATTTAAAGCTCAAATTCTCAGGAAAAATATTGCAGAATAGATTTAATCAAACCAGAAGTTGAATATAACCACATGAAATTCCCATTAAATATTAGCAAATTAATAAAAATAAGCTGACTGCACAAAATGCAAGTATAGATAAAATTTTAAATTTTTTTGAAAAGAAATATACATTTTGATTCTCTGTAAAGAGCTGTCCATTTTTCTCCAGATTCTTAACAGAAATACTGAATGCCAGGTTACAATCTATTAATAACTGTTTAATGCAACGAATCAATAACAAATTAATACTAAAATCAGAAGCAAATCTTGAGCTCAAATCCAAAAAACTTTAGCCTTACTTACTATTTTCTTGCTCTATAGGGACCACAGGATTGCCATTTCTGGAGGCAGAAAAGTGCAATATGTGAGCCATTAAGAGCTGCATGTTTTTAAAAGCACATATGAAAGCTATTTCTGAAAAAGTCAATTTTTAATTAATTTAATTTTTAATTAAATTTTTAATTAAGGTGTATTTCTAAGATTTTGTTATACTTAATGTTGCTTTTCTAAAGAGCATTTATATCAGTATATAAATATACACTGTCCTTAATAACAATGAAATATTTTACTTAAATTGGTCTAAGAACGAAGGAATATGTTATAATATCTGTCCCTGTACAAAACTTCTTCAGGGCTGGGTTTCACCTGCTAACACAATGCAAGTTAATAAAACACTGATAAATGTTTGTTGGACATCAAGATTGCTGTGATGAACACACTATCACTAAATCTAATTGTGCAACTTAGTAATTTACATATTTTGGGGTTACTGTTTGGACTGTTACTCTAAGACCTTAAGGGGCTGATTTGGTATCAGTCCAAAGCTCTGTCAGATTGCAAAATGAAATAAACATAAAGCGTGATGAAGGGGAATTCTTAGCTGTATGTTCCTGAGCAGCCCAGGGATGAACATTTTATCACGTACTGTGGAATAACTGCTGGATTTTCAGCACTTTTCTTAAATATTTCACCACTGAAAGTAACTCAGAGGTTCCCAACAGAGGCAGTTAAAGGATTCACATTTGTGTTTCGATGATGAAATTTGATGAGTTATGATGCATGTCATGTGAGTTCACCTACATTCACATCTTCCTGTGTTAGCTTTAACTACGAAGAATTAAGATACCTTATGGGTGTCGTGTACCAGGATACACCTTCAGACCTGTGAGGTACAGCATTTTCCTTGTTTGATTTTATTTTTTGACTTGCTAATAAAAGAATTAAAAACCTGCTTTAACATTAGAACTGAAATTGAGTATGCTCAGATTCCATCTGTCTACTTAGATTTACCTTGTTGCTTTGATTTGGACATTCTGGGTGGCAGCTTCACACACTCTTACTGCATCATCCAGGCTGATGCCCTCAGTCCACAGCCCACAGATGTACAGAATCTGATCTCGTGGCTGCAGACTGCCTTCCACACTGGCAGGAGAGCCAGGCACTATGTCTAGAACATAAATACCTTGTAGCTTGCTTCCAGCTCCTCCTGTCAGCTTCAAGCCTAGAATAATGCAGATAATAAAAAGTCTTTTGTGGCAGCATGTTTTGAATTTCATTGTCAGTGAAGTGCATCCTGATGGAATATATGAGGGTCATTGAAAGATAGGCTGAACAAAACACTGATGAACAAAAGAGCACTTTTCCCCCAGTAAGAAAGCAAGAGTGACATGCAATTAGATGTTCACAAAATATTAAAAAACTTAAACAGTGTTGTCCATCTATACTCTTCAGCTGTTCCGTGGTGCTTTGTTTCAGCTAACGTCAAATATGTACTTGAATAAGACTCCCTCGTTACCACAGTACATAAGTGCTTTGCAATGTCTTCTGTAGGATGTGCTATCATTCCCATTTTATAAGCAGGGAATGAAAGTGCAGGACAGATAAGGAGGTACCTAATCAGTACAAAGCAGCATGGTGCAATGATATTCCAGTAGTTTCCAAACAAACTAGTTTCTGAACTGGAAACAGGATCCTGTATCAAAGTAAAGATAACTATGCTATTTCCTGGGTCCAAAGTTGTATCTGTGTGCAGTACATACTGCATTCTCCAGTAATAACAAGATATTCATACTGTGGGGATTTCTTTTATTGCTTGCATTGCACAGTGTAGATAAATAAAACTTCATGTCTTTGATGAATCAAGCATTTAAGCAGAGTTTTTTTGAATGCCAGGCTGTTGCCCTAACTACTAGCTCATCCTTCTCTTTTTTTTTCCCAAATAGAACTTTAGTCATATCAGCAGGTAGCAGACATTCATCATCTATCAACAATTTCTAGCAACTCTTTGTATTTCAATAACATAAAAATATGAGACTGAAGATATGGTAGAAACTTCAGCTGATAGTGTGATCATACAGATATAGCTTCAGCTTCCAATAGCTTAATATGCCTAATAAGAGTTGTCTTCCCTTTATGGTTCTATTGAAAAGAAAGTTCTCCAACCCATTGTCATGTTGATGGAGGAGAGCACGATCCAAGACCACAATTGCCCTACGATTATCATATCACCACTATAATCTTTGTCTAAAATAGTATGCATAGTACTTACTACACACCTAGCTGTCCGTTGGCACCTTTTGTGAGAGTGATTTCAGGAATGTCATCTGGCCTGATAGAAGGACGTGGATCGCTGCCAGCACGACCAACCACAAGGTGCAGATCAGGAGGAGAGCTCTGCAGCAAACTCAGGGCTTCATTGCATTGTAAAGATGTGACATCAATTCCATTCACCTAAATGAAAAAGATACATCTCATTGACTGTCATCATACTTTTTCCTCTAGTACAAATATTGCAATGTGAGCTTAAATTAGTTTTCATTCTCATAACATTGCTTTGCTGTGGCACCTAATGTCTGTGAATGCATGCAACAGTTAAAAAATTACAATTGCAGTAAGATTTGCTTTTGAACTTTTGTTTTCCTGAATATTCTATCTTCATAAAAGTATCTTCTTTTCCTTGAAACTTGAAGTCCTGTAGCAAAAATGAAGGAAGACAAGTCTAATGAAATGAAGATGAACTTCAAAACAGGTTTTGTTCACACATTACACAGGACACTGCATCTTTTGTGCAGATTAGTGCAGTTTATATCACTTAATAAGGAAGATATTTAGTGTCTCAGCTGTACTGCACTACTGCTAGATGATTCTTGGGTTTTGCCTGGTCATACACTCTATTCAGTCTGAAGTTTATTCTACTGAAGTCAGTGGGATTGTATTTATTATATGATTCATTTGCACTTGTATGCATAAATGTGATAAACTAGGCCCTATAAAAGGAAAATTACTAAAGCTAAATGACATTGACCTGCACATACTTTCCCCCCTGTTTAAATTCAAAGGATTACTGTACCATAACGATTCTGTCTCCCCTTCTTAGCCTTCCATCTGACAGGGCAGGCTCATGCAAGATTTCATCAACATAAAGACAGTTGTCCACTTTGTTAAGAACCACTGAGAATCCATAACCATTGTTCTCTAACCTTGTCAAAGTGACAAAGACCTCCATTTCCTATTAAAGCAAACACAAGATATGTTTGATGTAGGCTTTTCTGTTGCTTCATTAACATTTTCCATTATGTTTTATATGCAAATAGGAATCAGATGTTCAGATGGTATAAATAAGCAGCATACGTAAGGATCTCTCTGGTCTATCACTGCTATTGTTCCAGAATTAATTTTATTTCTTCATACCTCTTTATACTTCAGCTTCATGGTGATTGATTGACAGGGCCTAATAAGGCATGGAATGCCATCAGGAACTGACATTTTGGCATTTTAAGTATATAAAATGTCATGGAGTCCTCAGATCTGACAAACATTACAACAGAGCTCAGAGATCTCAGTTGCTATTGCTATTGCTTTCCCACTAAAGCAAATAGTTGGATCTAAATTTTATTCTCAATGCTCTCAAATTAGTAGGAATTCAGAGCTTATTAGCATCAACAGGAATGCAAGATGTTCAGCTTTTGGCAGGACTGATCCCTATATTTTGGATAGTAATTAGCATAGGAGTTTCTTATTGGAACTTTACAATAGTAGTATTGTAACAAAGTGATTTTCCACATGAGTTTAAAATATGGCAAAAATTACAGAATAGCTGACACCCATTAATTTAAGGATAGGTCTTAGGCCTCTGTGCACTGGGAATAATACTGCAGAACGATGATAAGTTAAAACAGTAGGAATTTCAAGAGCAAGGAAATAATCTTAAAGGAAATGGTAAAGCGTTCTGTAGAGCTGGGCATACAGTAAAATTTGGACATTTCTGGAAAGTGAGAAAAGTCATGTAGAAATAGCATAGATAATGAGTTAAAACTAATGTTTTTAAGAATTACACATTCTTAAAGCTGTCACATTTCCCATGTCATTATCTACCTGTTAATAATCTCATGCCAATTACATACCCTAGTGCAATCCTCTTTTTCCTCCTTCTCTTCCTCCATGTCTTCCCATTCATTGTCACTGTTCTGTGTGTCTCTAGCAGTCAGGGATGATGAGAAAGGGCCACAGACACGTGGTTGTGGAGTCACCAAGTTTGTGGAGACAGTCTCTGAGCTTCCTCCTCTTGAAAATGAGGTCACAGATGTTGAGCTGATGGTGAGATACTCTTCATCAATAGGGGTTAGAGAGAGAATTTCAGACATACAATTCCTGTTTGATACATCACCATCACTCTTATTAAACACAGGGCTGGAAAACAAAGAGATCGTAGTGCTGGAATTTTCTTCCATATCCTTTATTAGATGGCCACTGGAAAATCTACTGCTTATACACATCATGATTTTAAGTAGCATACTAGTTATGGTATTAAATGGCTGCCTCGGTCTTCCAAGTATTACTATAAAACATAGAGGAAGTAATCAATTTTTTGCAAAGCTCTTAAAAACATTTAAAAGCTTTCAGCCCACAAAATCTTACACACTTTCTTTTTAAGGCACTTTTGATGTTTCCTTAAAACAGTAAGTGTAATTCCTTGACCATTAGTTCTTTCATCTGTCATAAACAATTACCTTATCTGGTAAGCGATATGCACACCGCAGCACTATTACAATTTTTATATGTGCATTTTTCTTCTTGAAAAATAGCTTTCAGCCACATTCTTTGCTGCTTTTATTCTTATTCTGCATGTCTGGTTTGAAATCACAAAAGATCCTCAGTGTTAAGTTCTTGTTTCAAAAGTTGTCTATAGTCAGAAGGAAAGTATAGAAAAGTAGAAAAACATGCTTTTTGGATGCATATAGCTAATAACCTCCAGTGGCACTTTTAAAACATTGACTAAGACAAGAAAAACTGTCAGGTTCATGCTATATATTCAGTGCAAGTGGCTGTCTACTCTGATAGCTTGTACTGATGCAGGGAAGAAATGAGTTGTATATCTTCAGCGGCACAGCAAAGCTGATAGTGAAACTGGAAGCTTATGAACTTTAATAGCTGAAGACATGTACAACACTGGGAAAGAAGACGGGTATATTTAACACAAATGTTTAAGGATAACAGCAAATACAGTCAGCTCCTTTCTTCAGGTGACAGGAAATAAAGGATTAAGTTCAATGAACCTTGTCAAGGAGTGTGTCACAGAAACTGTCACATACCAGTGATGTGCTGATTGACCTTCAAAGTATGAAAGATATTTGGCAGAGCTACACAAGCTCAAGGCAATGAGCCAGCAGTGGCCTAATCACAGCACAGCTTCTAGCCCATCTCTGCATCAGCAAGAGGAACGCATGAGTCTTGGTCCTACTGGACCACACACAATGTGCACTGACATGCTAGATTTAGCCTTTGGAGTCTGGGTGATCCCCCAGCTTGGACTTCTATGGGAAAACTATGGGGTGAAATTCTTCGAAGTAGTTTTGTTGAAGATTCTTTTTTTTTGGCAATAGGAAGAGTGAAAGAAATTTTCCATGTGACACCCTGAGTAGTAAACTTTTTAGAAGTTGTATCAGAAAGCTTTTATGTTTGCATGAAAAGTGTTGAGCAATCTGAAGAAAAGAAAGGGGTAACCTTTCATTAATGCCTATTTCAATATATTAGCTTATATCTATGGAAGGGTCATTTAAATTGAGGTTACATTTAAAATACTATTTGAGATACACAAATTGTTCTGTCTGCCTTTTGAAAATGCAAAAACTGAAACTAAATGATGCTGAGATATACCAAACAAAAACAATTATTTCAGAACTTCTTTCTTGGGAATAATCCAAGGTTTTTCTTTCAGTTGATATTTTCCCACAAGAAACTCAGTTTTGATGAAACTGTATCTCTTGGCAAGTGTGTTTGCTACAGACATATTTCTGCTGGTTTTAATCTCAGCAGTAGAAAACTGTTTGAGTGAAATTTCTTTTCTCACTAGGGAGGAACTAGAAGCACAAATAGCAGTTATGGTCCCACAGGACTTGCAGTCACTCAGTACGGTGGCTCAGCAATGTCTGGAATATGTGATTCACTAGTTCTGAGCTTGCTAGATGTCAAAAGTTTAAAAAAAAAGATTCAAATGAGTGTGTGAAAAAATAGAAATGAGTTTCTGGAGAAAATTGTAAAAGCTACAAGTTAGAGGTTTATGTGAGGCATTTAATTTTTATTTCCATCAATCCTTTCTGTTCTGATAATTTATCTTTGCACTGAGAAAAATGGAATGGATCATCTTCTGAATGCCAGTGTCTGGTATATCCAAAACAGTATAAAAGGAGGCTGAGTCCATTTGCACTGCATTTTATTGCATAATTCCTCTGGCTCAGGGCTTCTATTTGCTTCTGAAGACAGGAAAATAACTTTTTTTTTCTCCATGATCACAGTTTGTCTTCAGAGTGTTTTAATTTTCTCTGGAAAAATTTGAAATTAAGAGATTATACAGTAAGAATTGCTTGGTGCCTACTTAAATGAACTTTGAGAAAATTCAAAGATCACAAAATAAATAAGAAAATTTTTGGTTCCTTTTTATGTCAACAAGAGTCTTTCCACTGATTTCAAAATGCAGCCAGCTTCAGCTGAACAACATAAATGATTGCACTAGTGCAGCACTCAACTATTTTGCAATGTGGATTTCTTCAGAATTCCAATGAGAGTAAGCAGAGCAGATTAAGATAGTCAGAATAAGACGGTAATGCAAATTTTTCATTAATCAGCAGTAGCTAGAAGCAGAGCCCCCTACTTAACTCTAAGCAATTTACTTTCAAAACTCTAAGAACCAAAGGAAAGGGCAGATTTCAGTATTGCTTACTTTTCAGCACATTCTAGTTCACATGGCGAGTAGCAGTTCTGCTTCACTTCTTCCTCTAAAGAGTGAAACTCTTCAGAACTGTCAGCTTCTTGATGAAACTTCCAAAGATCCTTATAGGAACTTTCCCTGGGAGGCATAAGTCTCTGGGTGGGATTCTCTTGAGACTCTGTTTCCTGCTCTTCGTAGGTTGAGCTCTCCTCATCAGGAGGTTCACTGAAATCTGCTGCCAATGGAGAATCCAAACAGTCTTCGAGGTCTTGAGAGGTGCTACCTCCATCACTGGTAGATGGGTCCAAACTATTTCCTGCCTCTGGACTGCCTGGCATCTCTGCCATAAATGCCTTAACTGGAGATGGTGCTGGAGTCTATAAAAAAAACAAACACAGAAAAGTTAGTATATATTTTTTTCCTTTTCTTTAAGAACCAAAGAAGTTGCAGGGGAATTTTCAACTGGTTTGCTTTCTGGAGATGATTCTGATGGTCATTTCTATCTGTCCATGGACCACACTTATAGGTCCTGCTCAGACAGTAACCAGGAGCAGGCCATTCTGCATAGAGCAAATGCATTTTCATGATAGGAGAGTACTTGTGCACATATCCATGAATAGTAGGAATAATAAAATTACTTTTATTCTCTATTACAGTTGCTCCTGGTTGTTTTTTCTGTTTGTTTGTCTTCTGTTTTGTTTTTTTTTTCTTGTTGATTCTGGTAGATATCAGTAAGAAGCCAAATAACCAGTTGAAAACATCAGTTCATTTATTTATGTTTGTTAAGAAACAAAGCTCTGTTTTCCTCCCACTTTGGTGAGTAATAATGCTACCTCAAACCCACAGATTACAATGGCTGCAGTTGAGAGTATCTGCAGCTTATGGCTGAGGATCTAGTGGAATGTTTTTAGAAGCAACATTTTTAGAAGATCTGTTTGGGCATGTACTTTGTCACTTCATTGACAGTACTGCAACTCAAAAGTTGTTGCACTGGGATAAATATATTTCAGATCTGTCAAATTTCTATTTTGGTAGCAGTTGAACTCTAGAGGTTGAGTTGCAGATGGGAAGAGAAAGGAATGGAATTGGATACTGTAGAGGAAAGGCAAGGTTGCATTATTCAAGGCTGGATAGGCAAAGTAGTAGTGTTTTTCCAGGATTACTGAGGCAAGTTCACTGGCAGAACCTTTAACTTACCAGGGCAGTCTGCTCAATTTCTGGAAGAACACCTTTTGGTGGTCTGCAGAGAAGTAGTGTGACTTCTGAAGGAGCTCCTCTCAACAGGTGCAGGACATCCTAATCGGGAAAAAGGAACATTAGATTTCTTACGGAATACAGTTTTTTTCCCAGTCAGTAATACATGTCTTTTTACCAAGAAATAAATTCTCTTATAATCCTTTTTTTACCATTTAATTTCTTCATGTGAGAACAGAATTGCTCATTCCAGGCAAAAAAATTTCCCTAGACTTACCTCAGCTGATGGAGGTTAGAATCTGAGGCACTGGTATTTAGGATGATGTCATAAAACAAATGACCATGGGGAATAATGTTTCTGTTATGCACAAGAGCATCAAAGATTCCAACTAATTAACAACCAGTGTGCGTCTAACAATAGATTTTGTGCATCAATAGTGGAAAGCTAGAAATTAAATAGCAAAAAATATTCTCTGTAACAATTATGTTACAAAGGGAATTCTCCATATGAATTCTAGAGAAGTCTTCTACATAAAAATCAAAATCATTATATGCAAATTCTGCCCCCCTCTGGAGATAGTGAAGTTTAAAAGCAATTTCATCCCATTGTCTTTATTAGCACATTACCCACCAGGAGGCCCAGGGACAGTAGTAAGTTGTACCTGATACAAGAGTCCTTGAAGAGATTTCCCATTCACAGCCAAAATGATGTCTCCAACTTCAATTTCTCCATTCTCCTCAGCTGGCTGCCCTGGAAACAGCCTTTTGATTCTGACAATAGCTCCTCCAAGATATTCATAGCCTTCTTCTTCCATCTGAAGAACACTAAAGCCAAGGCCTCCAGAATTCTTTGTCAGTTTGACTTCAAAAGTATTCTCTGTTCAGAGGATGGATAGGAAAAAGATTGAGCTCAGTTTGTATATAAGAAACTGTATATATTATATTCTCCACAGACCTTTTCCCTGTGTGCTGCTGAGTTATATCTTCTGATGCTAATAACAAAAGGTGGTTTTATTCTTCCTTTAGCTTGCATGAGCCCTAAAATTCAGATAGGCAGACTGGCAAGAATTGGATTCTATTCCACCATGTGGCCATGGACTGTATGAGATCTGGTACAAGCCCTCAAAGGAAGTAGCAGTTTATACCAAAAAAGTTCAAGCCCTATCCATTTCTGACATTCTTCTGCAGATTTTGAGTAGGACTTACTATTCCGTAGTTGTCTGATGTTAATTCAGGAGTTGCACAAACCAGCATAAGCTAGAAACAGAGCTACTGTTCTTTTCAGACAAGATGGACAGACCAGCCATTTCCCAAAAATCATACCTGCATTCGAACTCCTTTCTGCAGGGGACAAATTGGAGGAGCAACTGCCCTATGGTAAAGTATGGTGGTGATTATGGGACAACTTTACAATAAAAGAGAGGGCATTTGTTGGATGAACTCAGTGAAAATGACCTCTGAATCTTCTTTCAAGAACTGAAGTGATGGCATCTCCCAATCCTGGCTGTGGGGCAATAGTTCACCCTACTTCACTCCTGACACAACATCAGCAGGTATACTAGCCATGCTGCCTTTGGGTAACAGCTGAGCAATATCAGTACAGCTGCTTGCTGCTTGAGAGTGCTGTGAGAGTATAGAAAGGAATGTTCCCTGACAGCCTCATCTCAGGAAGGCTGAGAGACATAGTACTTATGTCTATGAAAAATTCAACTGCATGCATCAGCTGTAAATATGAGGACTTTTTTTTTTTAGAATTAATTTGATAATGCTTTTAACACTACATATTGTCTTTTTGTTTGGTGTGCTACTTTCCTTCCAACCTATAGAAATATCCTAGAACAATTTTCATTCATTTCATTCTTGCCCATCATAAGTAGCCAGCAAAAGTCACCCTGAATTCTTTTTTTCCTCTCTTACCATCTGTCAAAAAGCAGTAATCCTTGCTGCCATCTGTGAAGGATGTTGCCACAGAAACCACTGCATATTGGTCCTTTTTCCTGTCGTTAGTACTCAGGCATGGCTCTGCTTCTTGATGGTGTCCCCTTTCTAGAACCAGCTTGGCAACCTAAAAAAATGAAGAACAGTTTCCATTTACTGTAAGCCAAAGCTTCAGGGAGGGGAAAGAGTTTCACACTGGCCTAGCTTTGCTACTGTGCTTCATAGTAAGTGCAGCTTATTTGATTGATCAAATGCTTTTCTGTTACACAAACCTGGCCAGATTTCTTAAGGTTTTCCACAGCCTGCTTGTGTGTGAGGCCACAGAGGCTGATTCCATCTACTTCCAGTAGACGATCACCTGAGGGAAAAAAAATAACGAGTGATGGTTGCGCTGATGATTCAGATTGGATGGAAATCTTAAGGCTACCCACACTGTGTTAGATCTTCATGCTTACATGCTTCAAATAATGTTGTTTTGCTTGAAAGCAATACTGCTTGTTGCATGGTATTCTGTAACTAACATTGCAAACATACCAGGGTACTCTGTAAAGTGGTGCAGTGCTTATCTCAGCAACAGCAGATGTCTGAGTCACTACCTTGAACTGCAGCAACAGTGGGAAGCTGTGCAATGTTGGTATGAGACTCCAGGTTCCTCAGTGGAATTTCCACATAAGCTACAGTGATAGGCTGGGGAATGATGGACTGCATATAATGTTTTGCAGTTGTATAGCCCTCAATCCCAATCATATTTCATCATCCTGTAGCAAGTATTTCACACAAACACCTAATTCTGCAGCCCAGGGTTTCATTGCCAGACTTTTTACCTATCTTTATTTGTCCATCCTTATCTGCCGGTCCCCTGGGAATAATTGACTTCACGTATATTCCACCATGAGGCACGCTAGTGTTAATTCCACCCTGCAAAGCATATTTCCATATGTTAGCGTGTGGAATCTCCACATATTCTTCCCCTGATAAAAATAAAAACAACTTATATGTGCATTGCAAAGCAACTGTTTCAGAAAACACATTTTAAAAATAGAGAGGAAAAAAAAAAAAAGAGGATGTTACTCTGATGTCCCATTTAGTTGTGATGTACTTCCCTAGGGAGTAATCATGCTTTGTATTCTCAGGAAAATGCAACGCACTTCTCCTGTGCTACTGCAGAGATCTGGTTGCATCTTTCAGTCAGCCTCTATCCCAGTTTCTAAACTATGCAATATGTATTCAGCAACTTCTGCCCTTTCAGACAATGTATAAAGCTTGGACTTGACCTTGTGCAGACACTCAAGAGCCTGCAGTACAGAGGAACTCCATATTAATCTATTCTGTCCTTCTACATCCTCTAGTAAATTTCAGATGAAAAATGAGCCCTCTATTTCTGGTTAAGCAATGATTCTATTGCTTCTAACTCCATTTCAGTGAGGATTGTAGGCACCTCAACCTGGTGAGGTAAGTTCAGTCTTGATAGTCAGAGCAAGGAATTATTTTTTGAATGTGGCACATACAGCTTTCACTGTTTCTTTCTCTGATCCTCTAAATATACAGAGAGATATATTTTTGATTTATTTTATTTAGAAATAAAATTGGTCAGGCATTTGTAGTAAAAAACATAGCTTATCTTAAGTTCATACAACTCAGCTTTCATCCCCCCAGTATGGGATGGCTGTTCATACTGGTCAGTGTGTCAAAAATTAAGTAGTGACTGTAGGTAGCACTTGAGCCTGTCCCATAGTCCTATGTGATCTGATTGTACAGACACAGCCTGCGAATTCCAGGAACCCCAGAGGAGAACCAGTCAAGACCCAAGGGATCCTTTGTATTACTGCATTTTCTAGAGACTCTGGCTATATTCTTTCCTGACAAAACTCCACTTTCACTGGCAGGACTTGTTCTCAAATCAAGCAAGGTGGGAAAGGGCTTGTATCTCCATATGCTTTATGCTGGCACACACACACATTCTGTGGGCAAGAACTGGGGAATGAGTAGAGCTGGTACTATATCCTCTGTCAGTCAGGCGCTTAGGTTTGAAATGTGCCGTGCTAGCAGTTCTTGTTACTGGCCTATATTCTATCTTTCTTCCACATAAATACACTTCTCTACATGTTTCTTGTTCATGTTATAGTTTGAAAGACACAGTGAAAGATTAACAGTAACACTTGCAGTCACACTGATTCCAAAAGTCCCATCTTCTTTAACAAGCTCCACAGTGTACGTTTCATTTGAGTTGGTTTCAGCTGGAGGTTGTAAGTGTGATGAATCAGCCTCCTGTCTCAAAAATATAAACACTAATGAGACTTTTGTGTCTTAGGGAAAACAAATAAATAAATAAATGGGGGGCGGGGAGGGGGGGGGGGGAGGGGGGAATAATAAAGAAAGTGAGATTTCCAGAAGATACAGAAGTTCAATCCTGCTTTCAGTGTAAGCATGGAATGGTAGCATTTATATCCCTGACATTATTTCAGGATTACACTATTGTTACCTAAAATAATATCCGTCTAAATGTACATAAAATGAATATAAATAGGGAGGCTGTTTGATAGAAGAATATTAAACATAAAATATTATTTTTCAGTGGATGGCTGAAAACTTAAAGAGAAGTGGAAGAAAACAATAAAATTTTGTAGTTCACTGGAAGAGGGAAGTCAATTTTTAGTAATATTTTATGGAACAGTTCCTTCACTTTTTCACTCATCCTAAACATATCTATAATTTCAACAATTCCAATGTAATTTAACAAGCAACATCTTCCAAGGTTTTCATTCTCTTTTCCTCAGTTTTTAATTTCTCAGTTATTTCCATTCTTAATATGGCTGGCATGTTGTTAAGACACATGCCATAATGTTATTAAATAACATCACAGTCTCAGCTACCTCCACATCCAGGCTATCTGCTGAAAGGACTGGGATCTTGGGGCCCAATTTTGGTGCTAAACTCCAAGAAAGAGCCTTTTCAAGTTCATCTATATTTACGGCCTGTTCTTTGGGGACAGCTGCACAACAGTCTTGAATCTTTTTTCTTCCACTCTCTACACAAGAGATCTCAGAACCACTAGTGCTGTTTCCCCTTGATATACTCTTCTCTTCATTTAATCCTTCTTCGTATATGTCTGCAAAACCATAACACAAAAAGACATCAATGAATGTAAACAGTAAGTAAATGTGAAGACAAGTATCATTGTATCTCAACACAGGATGGTGAAATAACTTCCCAGATCAACTAGTTGTGAGATCCATAAAATGAGTTAGCCATTGTGAAATGGAGCACCGCTGTTTTACGTATGGAGAAATGTACCTGCTTCATTACTGCAAGGGACTATGACAGTGATTCTGACTCAGAGATGGGCTGTAGAACTAATTCTGTCATAGAAAGAAATGACAAAATTCCCTTGATATTTAGCAATGCAGAATAAAGCCATAATAGATCAGATTTTTTCATGCTGACTATAGAACAGAAGTCTCATGATACCCGCTAAAATGATTTTCACTGCTAACCTATAGCAGTTAACTTGCACTGAGTGGCAAGAAAGTGCTACTGCGTTCTAGTGCCTAATAAATTACAGTGTCCTGAGTAAATTGCTAGGATTCTAGAGCCAGCAAAGATGTTTGTCTTTATACCTTTGGGTTGAGAGATGATCAGCTCAACTTCATCAGGAGAATTTTGTATAATTTTAACTGCAGTATTGAACGAAACACCCTCAAGACTAATATTATTCACAGAGATGAGTCGTCCCCCTTAAAAAGAATAAAAACAAGACAATGCAGGTCAGAAGAGAAAAATAAGCCCAGAATAATTAACTCTAAACCATGAAGGCTTTTTAATTCTAATTAAAAACTAAAGACAATGACCTGGTTTGATATTTCCAGCTCTGTCTGCAGGTCCTCCAGGGATAATTGAAGCGATAAAGATACCGAGGTCTAATTTTCCTACATTTTCTCCTCCAATAATTACAAAACCTGCAAAAACGAGGCAATATATCAATGTAGAGACATGAGCAGTATTAGAAAAGATGAAACTCAGGAGCAAAAAGAGGTCTTATTCCAATAGCATAAAGTTTGGGGTTTTTTTTTGTAAATTCTGGAGAATGGGTTGCCAACATCCTGATCTGGGTGATCTTTAAACTCATGCTATAATTTAAGCATGCTAGTGACTTCAGTGGCTGCTACCTACACATAATATATCAGTGAGAATACTTTTCTGGCTTGGGACTTCAAAAGACTCCAACTTGTTTCTTACAGGACTTAGAAGCTATTTATGTAACACCCAGAGAAGGTATAAAAAAGAAATTAGGATGTTGTTTTACACTATGTGGCCTCCAGCCTCCTGAGGTTGGTCATGTAAACTTCTAATGAACGTATAAGGGACATCTAAGAAAATTAATTTATTTTTAAGTAGCTTAATTTCTCTATCCTAGCATAAAATATTCTTCCTATTGCAGAAAATACTCTTCTCACTGGTAGAATAATTGTGACGGAAATGAAGGCATGCCACATGAACCACTTAAAAATCTGATGTCTAATTGCATTAATGGTCAACTGTGGATCTACATGTTCTCTGAATTCATCCCTTAGAAAAGGATGCAGTCTGATAATGTATTATTTAACAAAAATGTTATTCAAATAAGAATCCAGAAGTCAAGAAATATTCATGTGAAGTTTGTTCATGCATTTTGGATGCGCACGGGCAATATGTGAAGGGTTTATAGAACAGTAACTCCCTCATTTCTATTATTGCACTCTGAAAATTTGGTGCCTTGAACTCTATGATACTAATTAATCCTCTGAAAAAAAATTGTTGACTTGGTTTATGCATTCAGCTCTTTTAAGTCTCTGAAATGTTATGTCCTTTGCAGAGACTGGTATTCTTATTCCATAAGGAGAATAAATGAGTTGAAAAAGGTTAAAACTTTGCTCAGAGTTTGCACCAGGACCCATCAGCAAATATAAAATTTATGTTCCTTACTTACCAAAACCATTTTTAGGGTCACGTTTTAGGCTGACACAAATTATTTCTCTTTCTAGACCACATAGTAAAACTTCTTTTTGGACAGCTGGTGATCCAGGGGCTGCAGAAACAAAACAGCTAGAATAAATGCAGATGAGGACAGAAGAAGACAGGAGATTCGTGTAGAATGCAAAACTGAGGCATCAACAATTGAATATATTTTTGTTATTTCTTTCAACATTACCATTACTTCTGAATCAATAGAATACAAGAAGAAAGTTCAAATCAGTGTTTCAGAATTTGCATTCTTTAGAAAAAGATGTGTGTAGAACCAGGAAAGCACAGTGTAAGTTCTTCCCATTATTTTCCATTTTGGAGAGTACTTGTTTATCTGCAGCATTTTTATTAAAATTAGGCTGTCTAAAAAGTCAGGCGTGTAGCATTCATTGAACATGAGGTTTATCTGGACAAAATATCTACTACGCATTCCTTTGGGAACTCTAGCCTTAGGCCTTACAGAGCCTTATTGGCAATCCAGTCAGCACTGAGTGTGATGATGACTTCAGTAATGTTAACAGTAGTTAACAATGCACAATTGCCACAGTGTGTTTAAAGGACAGTTCTAACTTTAAAACAAATTGAACAAATAATCATAGCTTTGTATTCCATAAACCTTCTCTTTTTGTATATGTGTTATGGACAGCTGGCTTCTGTAAGAAAATTAGGTGCTTTGTGTTTCTTATTACAGTTAGTTTTGTCACACAAGCACACAAACAGAGAAAGGACCTAAAGCCTATTTTGTCTCATGCAGCGTTTGCCGAGTTGTATATCTCAACTGCAAACTGAATGATAGCCTTCAAGACTGCCTCATGTGAATGTCTTGAGTGTACTGAATTACTTATCTGAGGAGCCTTAGGCAGTACTGATGGAATAATTTCATTATCAAAATCCTTAACACTCATCCTGATGAAAGGAGGAGCGAAAGGAAATATAGTAGCTTGAACCACCAAGCTCTGCATTAATTTACAGAGTAAGAAGTGCAAAAGATTATTCTTTAATACGTAAATAGAATCTGATTTTGTCCTCTACTATTGAAACCAAACATATGGAGAAGTGCTGTCTCTATGATTATTATACTCACCACTGATTGTGTTCTGAGTTGAATGAATAGAGAGGTAGTCATAACTCCTTTGCTTTCCATTCAAGTTGATGTGCATTTCTGACTGGGATAGCCCTGATGTGGATCTGCATGGCACAAAATGAAGACTATGTTATAGCAACAAATCAGCAGTGGTATTTACCACTGGTCACTGTCATTAGCCTGTCAGAACCAAGTTAGGAATGCATGTCTATAGCCATTTAACCACTATTCTGATTGCTTGACCACATTTCATTGTAGGAAAGAGGTTGTTTATCCTTGCTGGCATTTGCTTCCAAATAATAGCTGCCACTACACCACTCACATCATGACCGATATCTTTGTGTTTTATTCTGAGCTGAGTGTAGACAGCAGGAAAACATAGGATAGTCTCAGCATGATTCATTAGTCCTTCTGTCCATTCAGACAAAATTGTGTCTGAAAGTTTTCTTAGTACTTCATGCTTCTCTTGTCTCTAATTCTCAGTATTCCAAAAGGCACTGGTATTCATCAAAGGCCTTGAAATTGTGTGGAGCTATAGTAACCATCTACACTGGTGAGTGTACCAGTGTAAATGAAAAGTAAATTCTTATGCTGTTCTTTGTGATTGACACCTTTAGACATGGAGGAATAGGTTAGGTGAGGCATGCTCAAAACCAGGTCCCACTGTGTATTCAGTTCACCTACTCAACTTCCAGAGAAGATACATTTAATAAAGAGTTCACTTTAATTGTCCCTTACATTCACAGAACCACAGAATCACAGAATTGTAGGGGTTGGAAGGGACTTCTAGAGATCAGAGTCCAACCCAGCCTGCAAAGCAGGCTCCCTACAACAGGCTGCACAGGGAGGTGTCCAGGCAGGTCTTGAAAATCTCCAAAGAAGGAGAATCCACAACCTCCCAGGGCAGCCTGTTCCAGTGCTCCGTCACCTTCACTGTGAAGAAGTTCTTTCGCATATTGGTGCATAACTTCCTATGCTCTAGTTTATGGCCATTTCCCCTTGCCCTGTCCCCACAGACCACTGAAAAGAAGTGGCCATGTCCCTTTGACTCCCACACTTAAGATATTTATAAACATTAATAAGATCACCCCGACTGTTCTTTTCTCAAGGCTGAACAGACTCAGGTCAGACTCATCTCACCTTCATAAGGGAGATGCTTCAGTCCCTCTGTGGCCCTGCACTGGACTCTGTCCAGGAGATCCCTGCCTTTTTCGTACCAGGGAGCCCAGAACTGGATACAGATGCTTTCATACATCTTCATATGCTAGTAAGCGCTCAAGTTATGACCTGGTAAAAATTTAAATGCCAATCTTTTTCAAGGTCTTATCTGTTCGACTGTAGATTTGTGCCTGTGTACACTATCATTGGCACAAAGGAGTCCCAGTCCTGACTTGGACTTTTGAATAAGCAGTGCAAAATAAAAGTCTTTCTTGCATCTTATCATAGAGTTTCACTCTGATACTGTCTACAACTGAGTATTCTTCCACAGGTTCAATGAAAAAAGCAAACCTACCTGCCCAGATTGCTTCTGTCTCTTGTCCTGTTGTTAGTTTCCACACTGAGGTTGTCACAGGACTTGCTCATCATCTCAGCAGAAAGGTTTTCCACGTTTGTCCCATACAGCACATTTTCTGAACGAGATAGTCTCTGAATCAGTGCAAGGTGTTCATGCTGAGCTGCATATGCAGAATTTGATTTGTCTATTTCCATAAATTTACTTTCCTCTGAATGAGAAGGGAGATAGGGAGAGGAGGGAAAGATAAGTCCACTGACGCTATCCCATCTTCTAAAACCAAACATTGCTTCCTAACATTTTGAATGCACCAGCAAAAAGGTTGACATCACAGATATATTTGTTCTGGTATATTTCAGAATATCTAAGACTTGAAGCGAGTGAATAAGAGTTTCCAATCCATTGATTTAATAGGAAGTATGCACTGTATGTAAATTCCATTTCTGTGAATTATACTATGAATCCACTTTAACAGATAAAATGTACAGCCCTGCATAATTTAAACCTGAATATCTCTATCAATTGCATACTCTTAAAGTTCTATGTACGGAAACTTTTCTGTCAGTCAGAGATTGAATCAGTCAGGCTTGTATTTCCTCATCTTTTACTGGTCCACTTCATCAAGTATGTATATCTGAGAAGACAGGAGTACTCCTAACACATATTCTCACAAGATGAAAGAGGATCCATGGAGCTGGCTCTTTGCTCTCAGAGATTTGCCCAAGCAAAATTGAGTGAGAGCCTGTCTTTGTGGTAATTCTTGGTACTTTATTCTTGTATTTTACACCCGTGTACGACATCTGCTGTTTAATGATGTCTGGGCTCTGCAGTTTACATATCTATCCTATCAGAAGGTTTTATTTCTCTAAAACAAGGCAGTGCTGGAGAAGGCACTCCTTACTTAGAAAGAGAGAAGAACAGCAGGTAATTAGAGGCATGTCTGAAAGTAAAACAAGAACCCAGCTTGGTGAGCTTGGCTCACACAAATACAGTCTTTCATTCTGCTTGTACATGCCAACTGACCCTCCATGCCTTGTCCTAACAAACACTACTCTGAATGCAGCTTTCTGGAGTCCTGCTCTGCAGCACTAAATCTGGGCTCCCCCATCCTCAGCAGCTTTGATCAGACACATTCACAAAGGCAGCAGCAGGCCTTGCTGCCATGGTATTAGCACAGCCTGTGTTGCCATGGTGATTTCAAAGCGGGGATGGTGAGCAAGTTTTGAAGAGATTGTGACTTATGCATATTAACAATGCAGAAGGAAGAGTTTCCCTGATGTAGAAACAGACTACTAATCTGTGGACTCCCAGTGGTGGCAAAGGCAGCACTGTGAACTGCTGTCTGTCACTGCCTTCATGGAGCCTTTTCTTCTGGAGCAGCAGGTGCACTGAGCCTCAGAATCAGTCACGCAGTTGTGGAGTTTGGCTGGCTTCAATGACTTGAGGAGTTGTAACTAGGACCTGGGTCACAATTTTCTAAGCTCTCAATCATTTTGTTTTACCAGGAATGTAGTAATTTTCATTAAAAAAGTATTACTGCAAGCAAATGTGACTCAGAAAACTTAAAGATACACTTATTAAATTAGGCCTCATTTACTTGCTACAAATCATAGTTCCGCTGAGCTTCCTATGAAGCTACAGGAGCCCAAGCAAAAAGACTGTATCTTGAACCTAAATGTCATCCTAGCATCTTTTTCCATGATAACAAATTTGTGCAGTTGGAATTTTGCTTTCTCTCTCTGAAATAATTTTAGTGGAAAAGAAGCAAGATGGTAATCATCCTGCTATATCCTGTGGAATAAATTCATTGCATTCCTCTCTTGCCATGACTCACTGGGTCAAAGCTTCAGTAGCTGTAAACAATTACGATTCTGTTCAAGGCAATGGCTGAGTCCTCAGCTAATGAAAACCTGTTTTGCTCCATTGAGGTGAAAAGTGATGTCAGTTTGTCAGCCTAGGCTAAGTTATTCCTCATGTGCCTCAGTTTCCCCAGAATGATCCTCACCCATCTATACAGAACATGCTGAGGACTGCATGTGAAAAATGCTGCATAACTGCTCTGGGTTGAGAAGAACTTTGTATTAAAACAGTGGAAAATCTGAAGTCTAAGGAGGTAATAGTGATATCTCCCACAAATATGGCAAAACCTCGTGGTAGAAGAGAACAGCCAGCTACTGCAATCTAGTGAGTGCGACTGCTGTGCCACAGATTTAGTGGCTTTGTCCTGTGACTGAACCATGGGTTTGAATCCCTGTTCTAAGCAAAGATGTCCAGCTAACTAACTTCACCTCCAGCATATCTGGACACCACTTTTGCTATTCTTTGTGTTGAACATTTTTTGGGTTACAATTGGGATAAGACTAATATGTGTCCTCACAATTCTCAGCAGGTTTCATGAAGAGTAATGTAATTATGCCTTTTGCAAAACTGAGGTTAGATACATAGATATTATCAGCAGAGTACTTCACTCACATGCACACACTAGATCTGACTCACACACTTCTAGCTTTCAGTGAAATAGAAGACACTGTCGTCTACTCAGCAAAGGGAAAACTGAAGCACAGAGAATCTGATGTGAAGGTTCTGATTCTCAGCTTAACTAAAGTGTCTGTCTTTTCTTTGGAGTTCTTTTCTCCCCTGTAGCACTTTACACAGTACTATGGACTATACAGTGAAAGTACATTTACCACTCACCTGATGAAGTTTGACGAAGTTGCCTGGAATTCATTTGTGCATTGAATTTGTGTTGGGCTGAGCAGAGGTCCAGTAGATATTTGCATGTCTTTGCTGTATCAGTAATGAATGTGTGTTTCTTGCCACTGAAGCTACTTTCAATTATGAATTTCTTTCTCTAAAGGAAAAAAAAAGAACACAGCTTGCTTCATCTAATATATCAAACATTATACTGAGGCACTGAAAGTTCATCTGCATTCTGTTTATCTACATACATTTCTGCCTTTCTGCATCTCTTGCAGTTGCAGAAAATGCCCATTGTACGTTCAACTGCTGTCGGTTCATAACTGCCCTATGTTGAAAGTCAAAAGCCTTTGAGACATCGACTGCACTGGGAGCACGTTGATAGGCTTGGCAAATTTGTCCCTAGAGATCTTAAACTGTTTAAACCAGTTGAAAGTGAAACAAAAAAAAAATCTTCAAGGATCAGAAAGGCCTTCTTGGGAAGCAAATAGACTGGGAGATGTGGTAAATATTAGCACTGTAAGACGGTATATTGGCACACCTCTGGTAGAAGATAGGAGTTATAATCTTGTCACCAATACTAGTTTAAGAGACACTGCATGTACTGAGAGATAAGGATGCAAAAGTAAGATCTGTAAAAAAGGTAGTCAAGATCCAGTGACCTGATGTAGAAAGGAAAATGAAAGAAAAGCGAGAGAGAAGTGAAGATGGGAAAGGAGTGAATAAAGAATATGCTACATAGAGGTTTGGTGTCATTTCTGTAGTACTCAGCTTACTCAGGTTTGTAGTAATTGACTTCATCCTTCTCAAAAACAAACAGGAGCAACAACAGAAACAAAGCATCTCTGAGAATTCGTTATCCAGAGATCCACATCCATGTCATACTTTGATTTTAGTCTGGTTTCAAAAAGAACGTATCTGTACAAAATCAGTCTAATTCTAGCACCAAATGGAAGAAAGTTATAAAAGTGACAGACAGAAGAGGTGTAAAGTAGTAGAGTTTCACTTGATTGCAACTCACATGAGCTGAAATTCTCTCTGTTTCCCGCCACTGGAATCTTAAACTGGCAATTCTTGTGTGATTTTTGACCTCATATACAATGATGCCTTTGGCACAGATTCCCAAGATAATGTCCCCTCCTGTTCCTTTCTTCTCTTGGGACACACGATAAAATAGTACTCCATATTCAGGAAGCTGCTGAGTTACCTAACAGAGAAAAAGTGCACTTGCCACGTGTTATTAAAAAAGAGGCATGAGGAAAATTGGTAGGTAGATGGGAGGGGAAAGGGTTTTGAGTGCCTGTACAGTATCTTCCTTGATTCCCTCAAAAAAGGCTTAGAAACCCTTCCCAAATTTTCATACTTACTCTTTCACAAAATAATCACCTGACTTTGGTATGTCAAAGGGCTACCATATGCATTCATTTTCCATGATAAAATTAAAATAGCACTTTCCCACATACCTCATTTGAAGAACTAAGAGGATTATGTAACTTCCTGCAGAATAATCTAAATTTTACAGTGGCATTGAAGCAGTAGTATTACTGCTACTTAGCATTTGCATGTATGCATGAACAGATTAATACTGTTCAACTGCTAAATCTTATTTCTGTTTTCTTTTGTATGTCTCTGTTTCCCCAAGAAAATTAGAAATCATAAAGTACAGCAGATACGCTGATCTTAGGAAAACTGCTAAAACTTTTGTGCCAGGGCTACTCTGGCATTGCTACTGATAACAAAGTCACCCAAATGCATACATTAATTCCTTCACTGCTATCATTTTTTAAAACCAGATATTAAAAATTTCTTTTGCAACAAATCTTAAGTTACGGAGTTTTTTCTAACATCACGAAGAGGATATTGCAAGGAGCCACACCCAGCAGTTCTAGATGCTTGTCTTTCTACCTCCTACACTTGGCCACAAAATGTTAAAATGTGACATAGACCTTTTCTAGGACTACAGAATATTATGGTGATTTTCTGGTCTCTTTTGCGATATTCAGATCAATATTAATTTATCCTAATATCCTTTTTTTTTGTGGAAAGCCTATGCAGAATTTCAACCACAAATAGAGATTTTCATTGTCCAACATAAAACACTTTAAGAAGATCTATTTTCAGAAGAAAAAAAGAAGAATCCAGAGCACAAATACTCAGGGCCTGAAAACTGGGACATCCATAATCACTACACAAATCTTGGTTTTAATTTTTAATCCCTTTTATATTTGGAATTTGCACGTTCTTGCCGTGAGCGCTGTCTTTCTTACTGTGTATGATGTGTTGGCTCCTTCTTCAGGAACTCATTGAAACAAATATGAACAAAGCTGCTTTCCTTCACTGGATTTTCTATGCATGATGGGACTGTTATTAAGGCTAAGCCTCAATCTATTTCTTCAATTCCACTGACAGTGTTAGATGATAAACGAACATAATTAAACAGCAATTGAACTAAAATGATGCTATAAATAAAAACATGTGACACTGCAGCAAAATGGCTTCTGTTATTTATTCATTTTCTATTCCTTAATGTTTTCATTTTATGGGAAGCTGAGAAGTTTGGAGAGGAAGAGAAATTAAGAAAAAAATTAAATCCTGCTTCATCATAACACTCTTGATAGAGAATCATATGAGATGATACTTCAGCTAACTCCTTCCTCACTTCTGTGCTTCGCATATGTTTTGAACAACCAATCACTGCTTGTTCAGAAAATGTCTGAACATGCGCTATAATTTTGAAACTCAAAAGGGTGCTTATTGCCCTGCTTTACAATTATCTCTCTCTAATACATTCAGTAGTTGCATTCATGATCATCTAGAACCTAGACAACATGTTCTTAACATGCTGAAAACTTGCATCGGCTCTTAGGATGTTGAAAATATCCTGAAATGTGCATTAAGCGTTTATAAACTATCAATAGAAAAGCACCTTGTACTTTAATGGAGTATAAGTTGGTAATAGTGACACAGTGCCTATAGCAGAATGAAATTTGGAGATTTGTGTTGGATATTCAAATTTGTTCACCGCATCTAAAATCCACTGAATTAGACAACAAGGAAATAATAGACAATGGCAAATGAAGACTTGATATCAAAGACTAAATAGATAAATACCCTTTGGTGTGTGGCAAGTTACCTTTAAAAATTCTAGTTCAGCTTCATCCTCAAACAGGGAGCGATTCATGCGATGTAATTTAGCAAGCTCTCTCTGTACATGTGCCAGGGTCATTTTCTCTATTCGGCTTGCTGGAATGTAGTCTTCAACACGAAAATAACTCTTTCCATGTACCTTTAGGGGAAAAAAAATGAAAAGACAAAAGAGACAGGAGCCTTTTGTTCTGTTTTGACTTTTCTTATTTGGTGCATTTCCATTTTCAGTGTGACCCATATGCTGAAGTCATCCTGCTGCCACTTCCTAAAAGAAGGTAGGGAACAGCAGATAGTGTGTCCTGACGGCCAAATGTGCCTCCTGCACCTGTGCTCATCCAGATGCTCAAGGCACACACTATGCTGTGCAGAGGGGAGAAAAGAGGTGTGCATGCAAGCAACCCAGCTGTCTTACATTCACAGCTGACAGCTGTAGCTGCAAGACCCAATGTCAGGCTGGATCAGACTGGATGGATCAGATCATTGAGTGCTACACTGATTTGCATAACTGGAGGTACCACAGAGAACAGAAAGGATGTTTTCTTGAAACTTTGAAACTACAAGACAAGTTCAGATACACTCTCTGCAACCTTCCTGTCTTTGCAGCTTGTGGATCTGAACCTACATGCAAAATCTCTGTGAATTCCAGAGTGTTTATTTTTCTCTTCCATGCTTTCTAATCCCTTTAAACCCCTTTGCACATCCAAGCTGTGTCTATACTGGAATTTTTCTTCAGATTTTCTGGACATCCTAGGCTATATTGACAATTATGAAGGATCAAGAATCTTTCATCATTCTGCCATATTTACTGTCAAATTCATCTGGCTCACTACTACTTCAAATTCAGACAAATTTCATAATTCTTTAAACTAAATCTGAAGTGTGATTACTGGAGGACTTCGTTCAAATTGTGCAATATTCACATTTCATTCTTTAGCTTTTGCTTGTCATATAGCTGCAAAAGATGTTGACAGAGACCTCTGAGAAATATTTTATTATTTATCCACACCTCAGAAGCATAATTGCCAAGCTCTGCCTGTAAAGCCAAAGCTCCAAGTTTCAGGGCAGTCTCATCATTGCAATATAACCGTTCCTCCAAAATATCTTTACGAAGCTGCAGGTAAAACTGGTGTCTCGTCAAGCTGTGCCTGGAACACAGAAGGGATTAAGAATACAAGATGAGCTTTGACCACTCAGCCTGCCTGCCACTGTTTTACCAGCAGTCAGCAGAAACATGCACTTACTGGATAACACTGAAGTGGCTGACGAAGAATTTTATTCTTAGGAAGAGTGTGAAGTTGATGATGGAGGTTTTCTTCTTTGGTTGGTCATTCCAGCCATCTGGGGCCACTTTGTAGAGCTTGGTCTCATCATCCAAAAAGAAAAACTCCTTACCTGAAATGAGAATTTGTGGTTCTGTGGTAAGTCTGAAGCCCAAAACAGCTTCCATAGCTCAAAATTCTGCTGCCTGTGTTAGGAACATCACTAGCAATAGAAGAAAGGATCATGAATATCAGTTGAGGTCAACTTCTCAGCGTTATGGACTAGTCTATTGCTGCTTTGACAAAAAGAATTTAGGATGACATCTAGCATGTAATTTAGGATTACAGCTGTTAGATATGGATTGGTATGTTGTCTATGCAATTATTCAAGAATCTACGAGGCTTGAATTCTGCTAACTATTCAGGTTCTTCACTCCAAATTACATCTGAGGGCACTGACAACGAGCCTTGCACAGTACAGAACTTCCTAGAATTCTGCTGGGGCAACATGGCTCAGCATTATTGTGGTGTATGGCTTTGACAGAGCCTTTTCTGCATGAGAATATCAGCTAGTGTCAGTGTGGCTGTAGTCATGCACAGTATTAAAGTAGACATGCTTTCCATTAGCGCAGTACAGTTTAAATTGACATAACTTACTTTTGCTTAAGCTTTAGATCTGCTTACATCTGAAGATCTTTAAGGATCTTACTGGAATTCATTAATAAATGGACTGTGTTTATTAATATACCAGAATTAGCTGTCTCAGTACCTTTCAGGTAAGCCAAACCGAAGTAGGAATGTTCCACCAAGCTTGCATATGCCACCACAGTATTGAAAACATCTCTTGCCTTGGACTTGATGTCACATTGCACCTCAAGGCACTGACCATTGAGTAGAATCACATTGAGATCCCTTTGGGACAAGTAGGATTTTCCTTTCTTAGTCTAAGAACATATAATAAAGAGCAAAGAATAAGTACCAAGTACAAGCAATGCAAACTCCACAGCATTTTATTGCTAAGGCCCTGGTCTCTAGTCCCTACACAACCTGATGAAATTGGCCACAACACTATTCTAATCCCTGCCTCCACTATCATAAATCATATTGTATCCCAAACGTGTCCGATTAAAAACAAACCAGCCAACAACAAGCAAAGCAAAAACTGAAACAAGCAAACAAAAGAAAAAACAGGGAATCTTGACAAAATAGATTCTGCAATCATCAGGACTTGTTCTAGATTTGAAGATAATCCCAGTTGTTTGGTTTTTTTCTATTATTTACTGCTGTAGGCCGTCAGACTTTAGCTTTATCTTATGAATGGTAAAGGATATGCTTGCAAACTGGAGGAGTCCAGTAAACTGGCTCTAGATGTCACCTTGGTAATTTCTAGTATAATCTTAGTTTCAAAAGTCTTATACTAATGACAGCATTCTTATCTGAGAAAGATGAATACAGCTATTTTCACAACAGTCACTGCAACAGAGATAGTTATGCAGCACTGAAAATTAAATGGTCTGCTTTCAAGTCTCAGTACTTGTGCAGGAACTCTAATTCTGTTTGAAAAGAGGACATAGCAAGAGTACTGGAGTGGGACTCAGATGAAACTTAGAAAGAGACCCAACTCAAAGATCATAAAATTAGCTCCAAATTCTTAATGTACTTACCACAATTGATCCAGGCAGCTGTAAAGTCACTGGTGGTTCACTTGACAAAATAATGAATTCTGGACCTGAGAACTGTAAGGGGACAATTCAGAAGTGTAAAAGATGTCTCTTTAATATAACAAAGATCCCTAGCAATGGTACCAATTAAACCCATTTTTGTTGATTGGCGTGCTGCACTTAAATGACTTCAGGGACTTTTGTGGTGCAAATGTTGATTTAAGACTTCCATCTGTTGGAGCTCTCTCCTGTGCATTTACTCTGGGGCCTAATTATGCCTAGTCTTTACATACAAGACCTTTCACTGTCTTTAGTTCTGAGTTATCACAACTGGATCATGACTAATCTGGACTTTGTAAGTTTAGGAGACTCAGCTAAAGTGATGACTCAGTAGCTAATATGCACGTCATTAATGAATGACAGTAGAACAAAAAGTTTCTCTTTAGTGATATTTACATTTTGAGATCAGCTTACACGCTTTTCGTTAGTCACCTTTTCCTTCCTCTGGAACAAACATTTCTGTGATGTAGCAGCTGCTGTGTAGTCCTTTGTAGACACAGAGAAGGTGGAGCCTAAACTCAGCAAGTTGTGTCTGCTGTTCCTATGAGCTCCACCAGGGATTTCTTCTACAGCGCTGACTGACCTTCAAAGGAGATGTAACAGTGAGAAAGATATCCAGAATGCAGCAAAACAAGACAGGCTTGTACCTTGTTAAGGTACATCGATGACAGAATCTTATGATAACCAGGACAATGTCAGCTACAAGTTGTTATATGTTGACATCATTAAAGGAAAAAAGATTATCAGATATAACATTAATGATGCAAATTATAAACAAATCAAAATTACTCTTTAATTCAGTAACAGTTCTTTCTTCATTTGGTGAGACAGATCTTGCTGGAACTAAGTCCAGTGAAGGCAACAGGCACAGGAGTTAGCCCCACATATTTCTGGGGCTTTCTGGGAAGTCTACAGGAAGAAATCAATATCTCATTTAATGTTTTTTTGAAACAAAAAAGCTTCAGAAATAATACTTGTTATTACATTATTTAGAATTTTCCAGGAATGGGAATTAAATTATTTTAATACTAATTCATTAGCATAAATTAATGTCTTAAGGAACTGAGGGAGTTTGCAGTCTAATTAAAAGATGTGTGAAATCTAAGATCAGAAAGCCATCTTTGTACTGTACTTTTAACCCACAAATTAATAGTATTTTCCATGTGAGCAGACAAATGTACGCCTAGAATAAGCTTGCAGTGTAATTAATGTATGCTTACTAATCAAGAAAGAATCTTTATACAGTACAGAAGGAAAGATTTTGTGATCATGGATTATTGTTAATTATATTTTTAAGAATTGCCAAAATTACAATGAAGTAAGGGTTTTTGTTTCTTTTATCCTTTTATTGTGTGCGTGATGGAGTTGCTTCAGAGAGCTAGAGAGTTTCAAAAGCTTTTTATCAAATTTGTTGGAGTAGTTTATATTTTTCTACTTATACAAATATACAAGTATTGTCATCTCAAGCAATTTAACCTCAGAAAGAGGTTTTACTATGAAATATCCCTAAAAATAACCTCAAGTGACATTTGTGGCTATGAAAATGCTATTGGCTCACAACTCAAGAGATCGTATCAGCAAGACTATATTTTCCTGTGGCAAACATTTCGTGTTATTAATCCTGCAGAGTGACTGATACCAGACTTGGCACCTGTATCTTCTTTATGTATAGGCTGTAGCCCTGCATAGACTGGTAAGCTTAAATTTAGGACTGTGAGTTGTAAATTATGATGATTGGACTCCTTACAGAGAGTGATTATGTGAGTAAGTTTTGTAGGCAGTAAGTACTTACTTTGTTTTGTCTTGGCTGCCTGACATAGGGAACTAGCAGGTTCCAAACAAATTATTTCCACTCTGCTGTTGTTACTGTATGTGAAAGAGAGTCAACGATCATGCTGGAAATTCAATTGCAGGTGCTTACAACTAAAAGTGAGGCTTACAGTTCCTGAAGTTTTATGGGAAAGGGTTTGCTGGAAATTTGGAAAAGAGTGATCATCTTTCAGGAAAGGAGGGGAACGTTTTCTTGTCAGCACTATTTTAGATCATGAATGTCAGGTTGATATCCAGATTGGTAGTCAGAAGCATGGAAGTTACTCCAAAAACACTCAATAAATAAATCTTCTACTGATATATTTGCCAGGTGTGTGATGTATATATAGGTTTCAGTATATACATATATATGCATGTGTAGTTAGATACAGTTCTTCCTTTACAAAAGCTGCTACTGTAGTGCATCCTGCTTGTTTCAGGTTCAGAGGTACAATGAGGTATCTCCCATAAATCAGATTATCATGGCTGGTTTACCAGGAAGTTCAAACTGTTTATTTGGGATACATTTAATTGGGAATTGATCTAAATTGAGCATTTCCTGTGGGCCTAAATTACTCATGTCATCGTTAAAAGAAGAAACTCCTGATTAACTGGGTCAAGAACTCAATTTAAATGGGATGTCTGTAGGGATTATGCAGTGCTTAACTATGGGATTCTGGTCTTTGTGATGCCTAGAGGCTAACAGCACCTACATCTCTTCTCCATTTATTGAGTCTTGATTATAACTGCACCACGATAACACCTAGTCTAGAAAACTCTTGGAAGTAGTGGTGTTTTAGCTGGCTTTTGAAAATGAGCTAGCATCAATTGTACAATCCTCTGTTGTCCTTGCATATGCACAAGGCTACTGTTGTATTTCCAAGGCTGAAATGAGGCTAATTCTCATGACAGAGCAGAGGTCTTTACTGTTTATGTTCCCAGGTTACCTGTAACTCCTCAAAAGTGCAGGTCTGGAGATAAGATTGATACTAGTGAGGTAAATCTGTCTGAGAACTGAGATGGAAATGAAAATAATCTACTGAAATATCGGTCATGCACAGGCATAGTATTGCATAGCTTCAGAACAGATCAGGCCTCTGCTAATGTGAGAGCAAGGCAAGACTCAGATGCAAAATCTGAATGAAGACAAATAGAGACTCTGCAAAATGCCTTTCCAGTAGAAGCAGTGACTGTTCATACCTTTTTACCACTACATGTCTGTGGAAATTGTGTCAGGTTTTTCCTTTCCACAGTGTCTGAGTTTGGCAGTAGGGACAGCTGTGTAAAGCTCTGCAACCATTTTGAGAGGACAGTAACATCTGGGAGAACACAGTGGTGAAGAGTAAAAGTGGATAATTTCAGTGTGAATATTTTGCGTGGATTGCTCAGGGCTGGAGCTCAATTTCCTTAAAGCATTTGTACAATTTTGGTTAAAGCCAAACTGATCTTAGGTGCACTTTAATTTCTAACTAAATAGTATCTGTTATTGTAACAGATTCAGTTGGTGATCCAGGTGTTTTCCAATGACATTGCCACACTAGCTCTCTGCCTCATTTGGTAATAAAACAGCCTCTGTCTTCAGGAATATAAGTTTTGATTACCTGTTTATGAAGAGCTTGTAGCTGCTTTGTGTCCTTGATCCACTAAGGGTGGGGTCCCATGACCTGTGTGTCTGTGTAACTCTCCCTGAAAGGAATGCAGGAAGTGTTACGGTTGAAGAAATTGTAGCAGCAGTCTTGGGGCAATTAGAATAAGCAGAAAATTCAGTCTGACCACTTTCTCTCTTATGGCCTTGCCTGGGCATGATAAATAACTATCTGATAAGGCTATGTGAATACTACACCAGAAGGATTCCCCAGTTCTGTAGTCACTGTTACTTCCTCTTCGTAATCCCTTAGGAGGATGTAATACAGAAAATAGCTGCATGTGTACAATGCCCATTGTTTCCATATGCTTTCAAGTAATTTGTGAAACAGCTTTTGCTCTTCAGAAATTACCTATAGTATTCCTTCTTCCATTTTCAGGTACAAAATCTGGGTAAATAAGCCATGAAACTTGTCTGCTTTAAGAAGAGCAAGATATAAAATCACTGAAATTAAAATTATTTATACATAGTCCATTGGTTATTTGCTACATCAAGTATATTGTAAGTGTTTTTACACCATAAAAATCTAGTAACAATATAGCATAGTTTGAGTCATGAGCAAATAAGATTTGTAAAATTTTTCACCTTCGTTCCTCTCTGGTGCTAGATAAAGAATAAGCATTTCTTTGTCCCAGTAAATGAAAAATAAAAAGTAGAGATAGAACCAGAAATGGTAATGCAAGTGGTAGTTTCATGAATGTTTTTAGCAGTGTCAGAGGTCTTTTAAATCCCTCAAGGAAGAGTGGTTAATGTTAAATTTGTCTCCACTTGGATCATTTCACTGATCTGATTTAAAGTACTGTGTATCAAATTATCACAAATTAGGCAGAACAATAGAGCTGATAAGTTAAGCTGAGATAGGACAGCTTTTCTTGCAGGTGAAGTATGCATAACTACAGCCTGAGACTTCTCTCTGAATTCCAGCATGAAAACACAGCGATAGATTTCAGTGTACCAGTCACCAACTGCAATTTAACAACCTACAACATCAAGTCACATTGCTAAAATGTGCATAAACTTTCTTTTTATGCTGCAGATGGTATTGACAAAATGTAAGATATGAGATGAGCCTAATATTCAAGCCTAGGTACAAAAGTTAAGGTACAGTCTCATGTTCTAAAATGACATGATTTTTCATGACAAAGCCTTCACAGTTATCTACTCACAGATTTTACATTTTTGTGTATATATATTGTGACAAGAACATAACATTTCCCTTAGTTTTCTCATTCCTGTTGTGTTGTGGTATTGTGGCATTGTGGCATGGCCGAGCTGTTGTGGCATTGGGCCAAGTTGGCTAGTTTCAGTGGCCAGACTGTCATGCTTTGATAGTAAATCCAATACATTGCTGATGTTTAAGGTTAGCATGCAGGCTTCAGAGAAGTTGACTCTGTAGATGATTAATTTGTTATATATTAAGTGAGCTTCTAAAGTCCAGACTGGATAGAGATACTGATCTCTCCTGATAATGATGTTCTACCTGAAGGTAATGTTTCTTCTAGCAGAAGAATGCCTTTCTTTTTTTTTTTTTAATACATTATCTCAGGCAATAATACCTGTGGAAAACAAGCACTCACAGTCAAGTTTTCTTCCTGCATTTTTTAGATGTTTTTACAGCATTCTGAGTACTACTGCCAGTGGTTCACTCAGGTTTACTGAAACGAGCCTTTCCCAAGTTTATGACCAAAATTCAAAAAAAAAAAAAAGAGCAAAAAACTTTCAAAACAGTCTCCTGAGCTTACTTTCACCATGTGCTGCTAGGTAAATGACTGACATGTATGAGCCTCAGCAGGACAGCCATGGTACCTTACACATTTTTATTTGCTGCCATACTGAATGCAATTCTTGAGCAGCACCTTTCACAGGAAGAAAGCATCAACAGAAGCAGCACAAGTACTCTCGCCTTTCTCTTCTTTGGGACACAAGGCTGAGAGGCTGCTCTACTTCTTAATTTTCCTGGGTATATTCTATTTGTCTTGGTAGATTATCTCCTGGCAGACTTCCATTTATGCAGTGTGCACCCAAGTTTTCTGCTCTGTTTTTGAAGGAAATTAATTCTTTG